TTAATCTTTTTGATACACTAATTGATATAAATTTTTTTATCACAAATAACTTTCAATAATTATATAATAAACACAATCTTCAATAATTACACAAAAATAACAAGAATTAATCTAATATCAAAAGAATTGACAATAATATAAATATCAAAAACAACAAAAAAAAATTAAAATTCAGATACAAAATTATAAATTAATATATAACGCAATCAAAATATAATATTTAAATTTTAATTATTTTCATCTAATTTATACAAAAAAATTTATCAAATTTCATCTAAAATCTCTATTTATATTATATTAAATTATTAATCTCTTTTTTTTAATTATAAAATTTCAAAACCACTAATTAAATTTTATGTAAAAAACTTTTAAAAATTAATTACAAAATTAAATAAAAAATTCAATCATACCCTCCTAACACCCCACCACACCCAATCTCTCCCCACCTTCCCCCTAACGCCCCACCACACTCAATCCCTCCTCACCCCATCCAATCTCTCCCCACGTGCCCAATATCCCCAAATTGTTTAATTCTTTCTAGCATACCCTTCTAAAAATGCACTTACTCTCTTCTGTTCATCTTCTTCGTGCTACCTTCAGATTTAAAATTTTATTTTTTTGAATTATTAAATTCGTAAAAAAAAAATAAAATAACAGCAATAATGATCCGTTATTATCGTTATTCATAATTACGTTATTATTTTACAATCGTTATTTTTTGTTTTTACTATGAATAAAATATCAATCGTGTTTTATTCAATAACGATAGCGGATATCGATGCTACCCTAATTTTACTATCGTTGTATCGAACCGCTATTTGATTCCTTGCCATAGATATGAAACTACTCCCATATATAATTTATTTGATTAACACACATACAAGATAGAACTTACAAAAACATCAGTACAAAGATCAAGTCAGGCTTCCCACTTTTCACGGCATACCTCAAAACACACATGATACAAGTAATGTAAGGGCATAGTTCTTATCTGATCAATCACTTAATGATCCTTATTCCTCTCTAAGACCTTTTGTTACAGCAAACTAACATTTTATATAACCCGAGCAAACCATGCACCTGTTTAGCAGTGCCCGCCATGGCCGCCGGGGCCACCATGGTGACCTGGCCCACCCGATGGAGGTCCATGGTGTCCTGGTGCAGGTCCTTGGTGACCTGGACCACCCGGTGGAGGTCCTTGGTGACCCGGACCTCCTGTTGGAGGTCCATGGTGACCCGGACCACCTGGTGGAGGTCCATGATGACCCGGACCTCCCGGTGGAGGTCCTTCGGAACCGGGAGGAGGCGGACCCTGATGCTGAGGAGGTCCGTGAGGTTGATGCATCTTCTCTTCTCTACTTTTGTTGCTGGTATTCTTCTTAGCTTCTTGGTGTGGTGAAACTCTTTAACAATAGTATTGAATTTATAGCGCTTGAGTACTAGATTTCAAGATAAGGTTACGATAAGAACTTTACTCGGAGGCCCGTTAATGCATAGTTGCACGTTGTCGGCATGTTCTTTTGTTTGAGATATTTTATTTCTAGTGCTACGAGCTTTTTTGTGGTTATTATTCTCCATTCACACGATGAGGTCAAGAAATTTTTTAATTCATATAAAGATCATGAATAAAAATTAGATTCTCTTTCTTTTCTGTATGAAATATATATTTTCTTATCTAAAAGTTTATTAACAAAACGTTTACCCTCAACTTTGATTTATTTAAAAACTAATCAATTGGTATCATATATATAAGCTGAATCCGTGTCTTCAATCCCAGTCCAATGTTTATCTACCGTTTTTGTTTTTGTCCAATCATAACCAATTATATAAAATACATTTGAAGTAAATGCTCGAGTTATATATGATATCAAATCAAGTAAATAGTATAAATGGTTAGTGAGGCATATTACACATCTCCCATGCCTTTGCTCAAATAATTAAGCATTCCCAATTCCAGAGACCAAAATTAAAATAATATATATTCAATTATTTAGCCATAAAAGGATAGTAAAAGAAACCAAAATTAATAATTGCAAGCAGATAATGAACAACATCAAAGAAACAAAAAAGATATATATATATATATATATATATATATATATATGCCCATGATGTACAGACCAGACAGCCAATAGATAGAAGGAAATGTGCTACTTTGTGTTACATCATACTTTGTCACTTGAAAACAGGGACGGATTCAAGATATTTTTTCGGTGGGAGTAAATTTATTATGTAATATATTTACTTAAATTTTTTTAATGTAAAGATAATATTTTTTAAATGTAAAATGAACTTTTAATAAAAAAAATTTAAAATATTTCTTACAATATCAAATATATAAAAAGTTTAATAAAAATTAACATAAATATAACAAAATTTTATAATATTAAATGCATCGAATATTTAAATATCAAATAAACATAAACACGTAATATTATTATTTTTCAAATGAAAATAGCACTATATGATTGAGTTAAATAGTTTTCATAGATAAAAAATGTAAGATTCTTTTTTTCATTATCAATATTAATGTATATATATATATATTTATTCGATTTCAATATTTTCTTTAAAATTTACTTTCTCTTGCTAATGATGTTTGTCCTTAACTAATTTAAATCAAATACTAATTTAATTTCTCTATAGTTTATAAGACATAAGATAAGATATGAAAATACAAAATAAGACCAACAACATGATATATAGTTTTATAGATATTTTAACTTTTTGAATAATTTTAAAATTGATGCTAGTTTTTTTTTTTTTTTTCTAAATTTTAGATTGTTAGATTACATCTCTACAACTTTGTTAGAATACATCTATACAACATTATTTTACATCAAATATATATTATTAAAAATTTTAAATAATATTAAATAAATACCTTACCACATTATCAATATAAAAGAAAAACAACAAGAGAAAAAGTACTTTGATATGTTAAAAATAATTTTTTATATTATGAGTGTTTTGTTGTAGTTTTATTTTAGCCATTATCTATATTTTACTATACAAGATTATTTTAGCTTTAATTGTATTTTTTTTTTTTACAAATATTTTATCATTTTATGTTTGATTTGGACATTTTTATAATAATATTTCACATAAGCTAAAAAATAAAGTCTGCAAATAGAAAGAGAGAAATGTAAATATATTTGTCAAGTATTTTAATATGCTTAAAAAGGATTTTAGGATTTCAATGGGGGCGGTTGCCCCCACTGCCCCCAGTGTAAATCCATCTCTGCTTGCAAATTAAGTAAAAAACAAGCTACGAAAACATGAACCTGTGTCCAACTAATGGTTAGAAGAGTACATCAGTAAAGAACCACAAACTATGAATCATTGCTACATAATATGCAATGCCTCCAAGCCATATATATGATTAGCAGTGGGAATTATATATGGATGCGATTTGCGTGGCTCAGGACGGTCTAATGGTGGCGCTTGGGAACTAGGAGGTGGTGCACAGGGTGGTGGGTGGTGTGGATGATGGGGGTCTGGTGGTGGAGGGTTATGCATCTTTTCCTTTTCAGTTTTCTCCTATGTTTTAGGTTTAATTTGGATTCTACCGGGTCAAATGCACCGAAAGATAACATCCTGCAGCTCAGTAGGGGATCCAATCATCAAAACCCTTAGTGTCCCTTCAATCGAAGGTTCCAACGAACATCTGTCCCAAGGCAGTCGATTGCTTAGTGTAAAATTCAAAAAGTAGGAGTATTTTCAATTATAGGAATAGACTAATTTTATGAAGCAATCAATTATTACATTGTGTGGTCTGGCGTAGAAAGCCTGCCAATTTACACTGTCGGTGCCCCATTATCATCACTCATTTTACTTAAAGCAAAAAGGATTATTTTTGTTTTATCTTATACAACACAAGTCAGAACCGCGTTCGTTTGCTGGTAGGTTTCTACCTAAAATTTCATGGAGTTCTCTGGATGATAAAGTGCTATGCAGAAATTTCTTATGGATGACTGTGCTAAGGAAAAAAAATTAAGGAGGAATTCCTAAGCCACTTGGTTATCAGTTACACCAATATATTTGATGTTGTACGATTAGAGATGATAAAATAATATTCTTTTTATCTTAAATATTTGTTATTTATTAATTTTTAAAAATTTGATTTTAATATATTTTTATATATTAAAATCAATTTTGGGAAATTAAAATTTTATAATTTTTAATGTCAAAAAATTAAAAAATATAAAAATAATTTAAAATATTAAAAAATAATATAATTTTAAAATATTTCAAAAAATATATATATAGACAAAAAAATAAAACAAAAAAAAATTATTGAATTCGAAGACCATAAAAGAAATTTTAACTCAATTTCGACTAAATTCGAATTAACTATAACGTTATAAGCTTCAATTTGATATCAACCCAATCTAAATTCGTAAGAGTCGAAATTTATTATTCAAAAAATACAAATTAGATCATTAATTTTTTCTTAATTAGAATATGGAAACATTTGAAATGATTTAAATTCTATAGTGTTATACTTTTATGTAAGATGCAATACTCTGATGACATATGTCTGTGTTACATTTATCGTCAGCATTATCTTCATCTAGTGCAGCTCTTGAAGTGGAGGGATGGGAAAATCACAGTTAGTTGGTAGCAAATGAGTGCGATCGCCTTGGACCGTGACCAAAGCTCATCATCAGCCCATTAGCATCTTAGTAATGGCGCAGCTCCCATAAATAATTTCTCCCCTTTTAGCCCAAATTACAAGTTTTTATTTCAGCTAAACCGTAATTTGTGTATTTATATAATATTAAGGATTTTATTAATTCATATTTTATAAAAAAATACTTATTATAATTTATATTAATATAAAATATAAAATATAATTTTAATTTTTATTAAAATTTTAAATCATATTATTTTTTATTTTTTTTATCATGTTCATATAGCTTCTTTTCTTTCTCTCTCATAAATAATTTCTGGTATAAATAATTTGTAAGAATTTTGTGGTGGTGACAAATATAAACAATCTCAATTTTTTAAATTGAAAAAGCTTGTAAAAAACAAAAAAAGAAAATCAGGCCTTGGAGGTCGAAGTTAACAGATAGTTGGGCCATCGGTGAGAAAGGCTAGCTAACATGGGCTGGGCGGGACTGCCGGTTGCCTCACACGTTTTGCACCCTGCTATGCAGTCTGGTCCCTGATTGCGATCGGATAATGTTTTTCGAGTTTTGAGTTTAGACTTGAGTCGAGCTTCTTATCCTAACTAAAGAGAACGGCAACACCGGAGTAGTCCACCGCCAGTCTTGCCACCATGGTTCCGTTTTGAACTCCAATAGACTCGCTCTCCCGTTGTCTTCAATGACCAATGGCGATCTCAACTGTTCCCCTTCATCATATCATTGGGCACTTCAGCTATTCTCGCCGGGAAAGGGAATATCATCATGGTTATAGTCGTGGTCATGAGTGGTCACCGACACCAAGATCCACGTATCGTTTGAAACCCATTAATGCTTCCGTGGAAACTCCTCCTTTTCCACTCTTTCAGCCTCCCCCACTTCAAGAATCTCCCTCTCAGGTAAATGCTTATGGGTTTTCAATCCCCTACCCCTATGCTTTTATTACTTTTGTTTTTTGGGTGTTTAACACCTTCCCCTCCCTTTGCTACTTTTACCCTTTTCCTCACAGTTGGAGCCTGCAGACCCTGATTTCTACAAGATAGGTTATGTTCGAAGTATGAGAGCTTATGGAATTGAGTTTAAGGAAGGACCAGACGGTTTTGGAGTCTATGCCTCCAAAGATGTTGAGCCTCTTCGTCGTGCCAGAGTCTGTTTCTACCTTTCTACCTTATTATTTCTCACTTATTTTCCCAATTTAGATAAGTCAAAGTAACTTTTTCCATTCTCATGCTTCTCCCTTCCTGCCTGCTTCGCCACTTTCCTGCATTATTATTATTATTATTATGTATTTGCATCCTAACAAATGTTGTACTAGTTATACTTGCTATGAATATATACATATACATATGTGTGTGTTGGTGACTATGCTTCTGCACTTGACTGAACAGATTATCATGGAAATACCTTTAGAATTGATGTTGACAGTAAGGCAGAAGCTGCCATGGATGTTCTTCCCTGATATAGTTCCAATAGGTCATCCCATATTTGATATCATAAACTCAACCAATCCTGAGGTAATTGAAATTTTCCTTTATATCAAACACTTAATTATCATATAAGTATTTATTCATTTATTATTCAATTTGGTGAATGCACTAGTACGCTACTTAACTTGTACAACAACACTCATCCTTCTGTTCTTTGCTGTAATTTATGGGTATCTTTCTTGGCAGACGGATTGGGATCTGAGATTGGCATGCCTTCTTCTGTATGCGTTTGATAGGGATGATAACTTTTGGCAACTATATGGAGACTTCTTACCTAATACAGATGAGTGCACTAGCTTGCTTTTTGCTACAGAGGTGTGTAAAATTTGAAATTTTGAAGCATTTTCAATGTTAATTTTCTTGCTTTTACTTTATTTTGAGTTCCCTTTTATTTTTTGCTAAATTACACTTTTGGCCTTCAATGAATTGATGGGAGAGAGAGTTATATAACTTAATGATGGCATTGATACATTGGATTTGGTTGTTGATTGGCAGGGATTTGCATTTTTGGATGCCAAATACACTTATACACACATGCACTCCTTATTCCATAATGTTGAGGAGAACTTTAATTTTGGACAACGTTTTCCTTAGTCTTGCTTTGCATAATTATGAGATTCAATTTTTAGGAAGCAACTCGCTGTACTCACAACTTGCTCAATCCATGCAGGATGACCTCTCACAGCTGCAGGATCTTGATCTTGCTTCAACTATGAGAAAACAACAACTAAGAGCCTTAGAATTTTGGGAAAAGAATTGGGTAAATGCAACCTGCCTATCATATATGGCACTAAATTTTTACCTTCCACCATCCTCTCATTTGTCTCAAGAAGTTCTTTCTCACTATGATTAATTGTTTGTGTGCTTAACCTTGCTCAGCATTCAGGTGTTCCCCTGAAAATAAAGCGCCTTGCTCGTGATCCAGAGAGATTCATTTGGGCTGTTAGCATGGCACAGTCACGCTGCATTAACATGCAAATTAGAATTGGTGCTCTAGTTCAAGATGCAAATATGCTAATTCCTTATGCTGGTAATCTTGCTGCACGATGCTCTTCTATTTTATTGTCAATATTTTCTTGTCTGTAATAGTCTATCATAAAGTTAAATTAATGCAGGGCTTGATAAAAATTTATTTATCCTTTTTTTTTTCCCTTACAGACCATTCCATGATCTGTTATTCCTTCATTTATTGTCCTCTCCTTTGTACACTGTCTTTGGCCTGTTTTAACATCAGAATACTGCCCTGCCTTTTCTAAAATTTGACTGCCATCATATTTCCTTTAAATTGTGTTTCTCTTAACTATATTATTCTTTAATATGCTTATGATGTATTTATTTGTCATCGCAGACATGCTAAATCATTCATTTCAGCCAAATTGTTTTCTCCACTGGCGTTTTAAGGATCGCATGGTTGAGGTGATGATAAATGCTGGACAGAGGATTAAAAAAGGAGATGAGGTATTGTTATTTCATGTTCTCTTTTATATTCCAATTTTGTTCAATTATTGGAATGAATGTTCTTGGTCCAAGTGGAATTCTTCAACAAGGGAGGTCCAAGTAGAACACACCTGTGCAGATCCTAGTGGAGTCTTTTATCAGTACCTGCTCAATTAATCCGAGTTTGTGCTCAATGAAATGAATAATTTGTTTCTATCTTTTCGGGATTATTCACATTCCTTTCTTCTCTATTGAAAGTGGTCTTTGTCAATAGCAGTCTGTCTCAAATATCCTGGGCTTTCTTCTCTACAGATTTGAATTTAAAACCTGATTATGTGGGCACCGTGTAAAATTTAATCAAATATCTTGAAATGTTTCTTTGCATAGATTGTAGCTCTTAGTATGTGATAAAGTTTGGCTTGAAAATTTGACTTAGATTTATTACCCTTCTTTTTTGGGCCAAAAAATGTTAGCTGTCTTTGTGTTGTTATTTCTATTCAACATTTAAAGCAATCAGCCAAATTAGATACTAAAGATGCTATTTTTTTACATTACGGGGTTTGTTTCCACAAATCCATAAATTTTGACAGATGACTATCAATTATTTGAGTGGACAGCAGAATCATATGTTCATGCAACGATATGGCTTCTCTTCATCTGTGGTAATTAGCTACAATATTTAATCCTCAATTCCTCAATCTGAATATTTAAATATGTTTTATGTTAGCCTGATATAATGGAATCAGGGTAATATCTGATGTCCTTGCAAATAAAATTTTAAAATAAAACCATGTTGATCTTGTAATCATATTTTTAAGTTATTTGTCCTAAAAATTAACTCATGGGGCTTGAACATTGCAGAATCCTTGGGATTTAATAGCATTTTCTGGCAACGCACATATTCACTTGGACTCTTTCTTGTCAGTCTTCAATATAGCTGGTCTTCCTGATGAGTATCATTATAACAGTATGACTTATTTTAACTTTCCATAACTTTTGAATGTGAATGGTATTTATTTACTTATCATTCAGTACCTTAACTTTACAAATTTTTATCAGGTGGAGATAATTTTGTTAATGGGGCAGTCATAGCAGCTGCAAGAACATTGCCCACATGGTCAGATGGTGATGTCCCTGCAATCCCTAGCATGGAAAGGAAAGCTGTGAAGGAGTTACGGGAAGAATGTCAGCAGATGCTTGCACAATTTCCTACAACTTCTGAGCAAGACCAGAAATTACTAGGTGAACATATTTCTATCTTAGATGTATGGAATTAACATCCTTTTCTACTTGATCCATATTAGAATGCTCACAATCATAATAAAGGGCTCTGACTGATTTGGACCACTTGGCTTTTTCTCAGAAAGTTTGCAGAGTCCTAATTCTTTGAACATAATGTGTTAAAGTTTTCATGGTTGAAGCATGGTTTAAGCTGGCACTATGAAAAACTTCTGTTAATAGTTTATTACCATAAGAATTTTAAGATCTGCTATGTAACTTCTGTTAAATTTAATTACCCTTATAAAAAGAACCCTCCACACAGTACTTTGGATTGGAAATCTGAATTATTACTCCAAAGAAGCTCTAATTCTTTTCCCTTTTCACTTTCTATATATTATTTTCATGCCATTTTTCACTGGCTCTGAGGATTTTATATGGGTTGTTGAACTAAGTGAAAACTTGTTGGAGAGGGTGGGGCTTGAAACTGGCCTCTCTAACTTACAAAGTTTTTTAACACTACAAATGATGTTGATCATAATGAACACGTCTAATTTTATTTGTTTGGATATATAATGCTGTCTTCTTGACCCGTTAATTTTCTGCCAACAGATTCCATTCCTGAACCAAGGAAGACACTTGAAACTGCAATCAAGTATGTGATTCTGACATAACATACTTTTTCTCATGCATCTGGTTTTAATATGTAATTATAGAGACTTGAAGTCACTCTAATCTTTACATATGCAGGTACAGATTGCACCGGAAATTATTCATAGAGAAGGTCATCCAGGCATTGGAAATCTATCGAGAGCGTATATTGTTTTAAATTAGTTTTCAACTTGCTAGGATCGCAGATAGTTTTGTTCAATAGCTGATGTCAAAAAGCCATTAAGGATGCTTATTAAAAAAAAAAAAAAAGAAAAGAAGAAGAAGAAGAAAAGAAGGAAAAAAAGAACCATCAGTATGTGGAAAATTTTATGAATGCAGAAAATATCATGTCTCCATTTTTCGGTTTGTTCATGTTCACTGCATCTTACGTTCTGTCTCTCTCTTCTCATACTAGGATAGCTGAATGAAGCAGTAGATGGAAGCATAACTGGATATTTATAGTTTCATCTGGACTTCTTAATTGAGTTTGTTGCAGTGAATAGTTGGTATAGAATATTGACTTCCAACAGGATTTTCAAAAAGTGGGATGATGAAAAAGGCAATTAGCCTCTAGCGAAGAAGTATTAATCATCTTTCCACCACCCCTACCTGTTTAGCGTTCATGTTAGTTCCGGTGCTTGACATCATTGAACTAGGAGCATACATTCTTTAACCTCCAATGACAAAAAAAGAATCCCAAATTATTTGTATTAATTGCCAAATGAAACTGATATACAAATGGTTGTATTTTGACATTTGTACTTGGTATCTTCGCAATTCTCATTACACAAAGTAGGCTAGAAAGAAGCAAAAGACTGAAACTGCAACTTGTACATTTTATTGTTGATATTTGGTTACGAAAGGCGGAAAGGTGTTGGGGCCACTCTGTGGCCTACTTTTCTACTCCAATGTGTAAAAATCCGAATCAGCTTGGCATTACAAGAAGCGGAATTCATGCATTTCGGCTCACTTTTGTCTTTGGTGGGGAAGCAGACTCACTCGGCGCCTGCTCTAAAACAAAAGAAAGAAAGAAGCAAACTGACAGACCGTGTGTCTATGTTTGGGAACTGAAGATTATCGTTGTCTGAATTGTGGATAGAAGAATAAGAAGAAGATATGGACAAGACTACTGCTGCTGCTGCTGATGCTAAGATATCATCAATCTTTATCTATCCTATAAAATCATGCCGTGGAATTTCTGTTCCTCATGTACCCCTCACTCCTACTGGTACTTTTTCACCACTTGGCTTCTCTATTTCTTCAACTTCAAGTGTGCGTTTGTTTCTCTTTCTTCTTGTCTGTATGTTTCTCCCCTGCGTCCGATGCTGGGTTTATTCTGTTTGCTTGCCTTTTCTTCCTCACCCCCCCTTCAAATACCAAAAAAAAGAAGACTCTATGCTATTTTTAGATTCTCCCTTTGATTTCAATTCTTTATACTATCAATAATTAGCCACTTTGTTCTTAGATTACGGTGAGACACTTGCCTTCATTTTCTAACACAAACTAATGTATCACTCTGCAACTCCTATGATTAGTTTCAGTTTTCGTTTTGCTTTTTTTTGTGGTGCTAAACCCAATCTTTATACCATTCTGACTCAGAGTTTTCTGTATGATTTTTTGAGCTAATCCAAATGACGTTGAACTAAGAAATATTGGACAACTATAGTGGTGATTATTAAGAATCACCTTTTCTGTGATTTTGGGGATTATTTGCCATTTTTCTCACTATCGCTTTGATTTCTTTCAACTTTTTACACATGCCGAATATGTCTCTTTTCCAAAAACTCAGAGTGGAAGCAAAACTCTTGAACAAATTATAAAAAAAAAACAGTAGAATCTTTGTGACTGACCTGCAAGCTGTCAATCTGTTCAATTTATTCTTTGTGGCCGACCTGCAAGCAAGGAAATTTTCTTATATTCATTTGATGATGGATGTACAGGATTTCAATGGGATCGGCAATGGCTTGTTGTGAATCAGAAAGGGAGGGCATATACTCAAAGGGTTGAACCAAAGCTTGCTCTAGTCGAGGTAGATCTGCCAAATGAGGCCTTTTCTGAGGGTTGGGAACCAACCAAGACCTCATATATGGGTAAGTCAACTTATTATGGTCTATGCCCCATTAATCTATAACACAGCTTAGTTATTGCAGATATTGTATCATATGATGCTCATTTTAAGCAGAATTGTGTTGTGATTAGATGTTTCAAATACTGGCTTCATCTATTTTTCCTGGCAAACCAACTCAAACAAACTTACCCCTTTTTTTAATTACAAGTTAAACTTACCCCTAATCCTTAACTATCTGGGGTTTCTTACATGCACTTTTCTCTCCCTTTTGCTAAGTACGATGTTATAGTCAATGAAAGATTTAAAGATGCCCAATCCTTTCCCATACTTGAACTACATCGCTTTTCTGTGCCGAAACATCTCAGACCATATGTTGCACAAGGCCAAACAATCTGATCCCTAATTGTAGAAATTTTGGTATGATCAAGTTGGTATCATCATTATGTTTCAAAGTTCACCATTTAAAAAAATCAATGCAATAATTTCTTAACTTTGGCAAATTTTACAAAAGAATAAAAACCACCATTTTCTTTTGATTTTCCCATTGGATTGTCAAGTTGTGGTCACCGTGTTTGTATTGAGGATTTTGCAGTGATGACACTTTCATGGAAACTCAGTTTCACTATATTAGGTGTGATTAATTATTTGATATTCTTAATGTCATATGCTGATTCTTTTTAGTAGTTTGGTTCTATCTTGAAATACTAAGTCTCTTCTCCTTAGCAGTGTGGGGATGCTCAGAAGTTTTATCTTTATTTTACCATTGTTTGTCTCATACAGGCAAATCATGATTTCCTTTGACTTTGCATGAGATTTTCTGTCATGACCATTATTCACTTTCATTTGCAGTAATAAAAGCACCTGGAATGGATTTGCTCAAGGTTCCACTTAGTAAACCACCAGAAATAGCAGATGGTGTTTCAGTTAGGGAGTGGTCTGGCTCTGCATTGGATGAGGGTGATGAGGCTTCAAAATGGTTTACAAATTATCTTGGGAAGCCCAGTAGGCTAGTTCGTTTTAATGCAGGTTGGTTTGATTCTGTTACATTTCAATGAATAGGACATTAAGTGCATTTCTTTGGTTTATCAAGGGAAAGCAAACGATGTGGGTGGAGAGTTGATTACTTTGTAGCTCTTGGACATTAAGCGCAGAAATAAGGATATTGAGGGGAAGCAAAGAATTTGGGTGGAGGGTAGCTCATGGTAGCCAAACCTCTCCTCAAAGATCTAAAGATCCCCTATCACAGTTATTCCAATTAATAGATCAGAAATAAGAAAAAGGAAAACGAACGATATTCTTGGTAGGCATTACTAAAATAAAATTATTAGCCTTGAAGAGCAGAAAAAATATAGATACTGCTAACAAGTTGGCATAGTGAGCATATTAAGATACATTTACATTTAGTCTCAAATTATATGGCCAATAATTCGGTTACATTATTATTTAATAAATGCAGCATCGGAAACTAGGCCTGTGGATCCTGTGTATGCTCATGGGCATATTATAATGTTTTCTGACCAGTACCCATTCATGTTATTATCTCAGGTTAGTATGCTTTGGAAATGATGTTTAGTTTCTTTTCTAAATAATAATGATAATAATAATAATAATAATAGTATTATTATTAACAAAGCCCAAACCTGATGTTATAAGTAGAAACTTTTGCAGGAATCATTGGATGCACTGAACAAGCTTCTGAAGGAGCCTGTACCAGTTAATCGTTTCAGACCCAAGTGTTTTTTCTTTTTCAGGCTTATGCCATGTATCATGGGTTTTATTTAGCATGTGCTTCATCTGTATACTGCTGCCATAAACAAATTTCCTCTGGGATCCACTTACTGCTTCAAATTCAAATCTTTGTAAATTCCTCTCATGATTTTTCAAACGGAAAGCACGAGTCTGACTCTAAGTTTGATTACCCATGTTTTTATATTTTCTGTATTATTTATGACTTTTTTGGCCATTATGTATTACTTTATTACATGGTTACTTGCTTGTGACCGCATCCTTGTTGATGGTTGTGAGCCTTTTTCTGAAGACTTGTGGACAGAGATTAAAATAACCCAATTTTCATTTCGAGGTGTGAAACTATGCTCCCGCTGCAAGGTAAGAAGATATCCTTTCTGCATTTTCAGACTCTCTTACGAGAATAAATTTATCTTGAGTCAGTTGAGTGTATAAGTTGGTCATGTCAACTTGTCAAATGCAACTGCAAGTACAAGATTGCTATTTGAGGTCACCCTTTCTGTGCAATTTATTAAGCCCCCTTAGGGGACCATATGTTGAAGACTAACAGTAAGGGCTATATCTTGTGGTTTGAGTTGAAGGCAAAATAGGGGTGCTTTCAATAGGTTACAATAGGTTACAATAGGTTTACTGTTGAAAAATCCATTAGAATGTCCTGCTCGAGGATTGCTGTTGACATTTGTCATCAAACTTGCAATTCTGTAAAAATCATTCATATTTCCTTTCAAAATTTCCACTTACATATATGAGAAAATAAACTGGCCAGATATTTGAGCATCTCTGAGGTTTTTTTTTTCTTTTTGGGTGAGGACTTGTTTCCATATTGATATCTTAGCTGGGTTCATTAATACGTTGATTCTGATATCTTATTTAGAGGTATACAAACTTACAGATGGGTGATTACAAGAACGCTTCCACTGTTTTCACTATTTAGCTTTTGCAGTGTGCTATAATTATAAAGTCATGAATTGGAGCTGTGCATTCCATATGCTTAAGCATATTCTATTCTCAAACAGTTAAAAAAGACAATTGTGCATTTAATAGGTACCTACAATCAAGCAAGATACCGCGATTGCTGGCCCGGAGCCAAATGAAACTCTCATGAAAGTCAGGTAGGGTAAGGTTTTGCTACCCGACCAGAAACAGCAGGGGAAGGTAAGATGAAAATTCAGAGTTTTCAGCTGTATCATTCTGTGTGCTGTCCATGCAAATGATACCTAATAAGATTGGATGGTATGGCAGATCTACTTTGGGCAAAACTTGGTTTGCAAGGAAAATCTTACTCAAGGAAAGGGAAAAATGGTTAAAGTGGGAGATCCCATTTTTGTCCTCCAGAAAGTCTCCTCTGCTGCAGAAGCAGCAGCTTGAATGCTGAACATTATCTTTGACTTTCTCCTCTACAACCCTTCAGTCTCATGATCTACGTGTTATTATTAATATGTTTTTTTTTTTTCTACTAAAACGAAATAATTTATATGACTTTAATGTTGGTAATAATTCGAGTTAAGCTCAAATATTTTAATAACCAGTTGAAGCGGCTCTTTAATACATATGGTTTTTGTATTTTTTTTTTTAATATGGTCAAGTATCTTCAAATTGGATCTTAAGATGCATCTTAATAAAACCAAACATTTATATTTGAAATTTTAAAGATAATAAATACAAATAATCTATTTTTTATATTTATCAATTAAATAATAACTGAAATTTTAAGTTACTTGTTGTACAAATCTTATTACTCCATATTTCTACCAAGTATAATTAATTCCAAATAATTTCACATATTATTAGCTTGGTTAAATGTGAATGAACGTAATTCTCAAATCAGGCTTTTTATTTATTTATTTATTCCTGTGCCAAAATCAGGCCTGTTCATGCATTTCAATAAATCTTCAACTAAGCCCATGAAAAAGAAACAACCTTGCTAGATGATATCACACTATTGTGTAGTGAGTGAATAACCAAAAGAGCAGCCATCAGCAGCAGGAACAACATCAGGGGAATAAATGGGCAACCGAAAGGTTTGGTCGAGTGATACAAACCCATCATTTTCATGTGGTTTGGTCTTCAAAAACGGACTTGGTTTATATATATACTCGTGGCTGTCTCTTTTTAGCATTTTGTATAAAGAAAAAATATTATATAAAAAAAACAACGGTGGAGGAAGGCAAAGGGGTTTTCACTAGTTTCTCTCTATCCAACAAGGAGTTTCGTAGGAACTTGTTGGGGAGTTACCTAGGCAAGGCTGATAAGCTACAAATTTCCATTAATCCAAGAATAATGAAACATTAACTTTAAGCTTAGCTTTGATTATTTATAGTGGGGTCTCAACATTTATACACGATTAAGTCAGGCTAGGCATTAACTACTAAAACTTCCCATTGGAAAAACCTTATATTTTAATTTTAAATTTCAACACAATTAAAATTTTAATTTATTTTATTTACCTCATTATTTTAAAAGATAGTATTAAATAATTATCAACTCTTTTTCTATACTCGAATCATAATTTTTTTGTATTAAAAAATTTTAACATTTATAATTTTTTATATATTTTAATTATAATTTTTTTATATAAAAAAAAATCATGAGAAAACAATTGGCTAACTTGTTTGAAGTGAAACCAAGAAAAGAAATGACATTGAAATCAAGTTTGTAATAATAAAAAGTTGAAGTAGTAACATCATCACCAAACCAAACTAAAGTCGGAAAAACCCAATCAACCTACCCAAAATTTACTAGTTGACGGATTAACCAAGTCTCCCCTGGCTGGCCTCCTTCGCTAATCTCAATAGATCTTGAAAATGTTAATCCATTGTCAAATCAAAATGAAGTGACGACAAATTTGTGCACAACTGCAAAATTAATGGTTTTGTTTTTTTGCCTTTTGATTTGTGTCCACCACTTTCAAGCCGACTCCATCACTCACATGGATTGCCCCAAAGTGCTTTTAAGTGATGCACGTCCTGCACAAAAAGTGAATATATATATATATATAAAACACTTAAATTCTCTCATTGTTATTTTCAAAACAAGATAAGGATTATCTGGTGATATTATACTAGAGTCAGCGTTTAGAAATAATAAATTTAAAGAAATTTATATATGTAATTAGATTTGATAAATTTTATATTTATATTTTTTAAAATATTAAAATTTATATATTTATATCATATTTTATATAAAAAATAATTCATATTCACATAAAAATATAAAATATTTTTTATTTTATTAAATATATATTAATTATTATTAAATTTTTAAATTATATCATTTTTATATTTTTTTTATATGATATTCATGTTATATCCTCATATCATATTTTTTATTATTAAGTTTACACATAATATTTTTTTTCAATTAAATAAATTATAAGGATAGAAAGTTTAAAAAATAAAACGAAAATAAAAAAATGATAATTATGATGCAAACATTAAGAAGTACTTTTTTTTTCTTTTTAGTAAATTTAGTGGCAGTATTTATGAATAAATGGTGTTGTTTTCATTTATAATAAAACAATATTAAAAAAGAATTAATTTTATGAATAATTTTTGAATTATAATAAAATATTTAATATAATATTTAAATTTAAAAATTTTTAATATAATATTTAAATTTTAAATTTATTAAATAATATAATATTTTAAAAATTATTTTTACATCATGTGTTATTATTTAAAGTTAATCATATTAAAAATAAATATCATATTAATTAATAAATTTATAATTTAAGTATTAAATTAAAATTTTTAAAATTAAAATATTATATTAAATATTTTATTATAATTTAAAAGTTATTCATATCATTAACCCTAGTATTCTACTAAAAATGGTGAAAATATTGGTTATACCTATAATAAAATAAAACTAAAAATTTGAATTATTATCAATGAAAATATATTTAATTATCACATTTATTTTTGTATTAATCAAAATCAATACATGATTTAACCAATAAAGTGAAACTAAAATTAATGGAAGTCGTTTCTACTTGGATTTTTGTACTAACCATAAGATGACAACTCAGCGAAACCTTCAAAATATCAGATGAAATTATTCGGACATGATTTAAACTTAGATAATCATATGAAATTATTTATTGATTTAAATAAAAAATTTTATTTATATTAGTGTAATTTATACATTTTAATATATTTTAATATTATTTTATATCTTTAATTTAATTATTAATTTTTTTATTTATACAAATAGTATATAATAAAATTTCAATTAATTAAAAATAATATTATATTTTATCGATATAAAAATTTTAACAATGAAATATATATTGTATTATATTGTTTATTATCAATATAATATAATATGCATATTATTGATTTGAAAATTTAATTAAATTTAACGGTTGATTTATTGAAAATTACTTTTACAAATATATATATATAATTATTAATTTTAGGGTAACTTGATCCTTCATGCTTCTCACTCTGTTATATAAACAGAGCTCATAGCAATTCAAATGAGTGCAAATTCAGGGTATAAAACAGAGTCCAACGCACAACGCTCTTTTCTGTCTTTTCTGTCTTTTTGTCTGAACCAAGTTTCGCTTTTTCTTCCTCCAACCCCAATCATACGTAAGCCCACAGAAATAATTCATTTTCAAAAACTATTTTTTTATTAAAAAAAAAAGTTTTGAATTGGGTCTCTTCTCCTTCCATCTTCAATTATCAATTTCATAAGAGTTTGAAAAAGAGAAAAAACCTACCAGTCAGTAGAAAACTCTTATTTTCTCTCAAAAGCTTTTGAAAAGAAGAAGGCTTAAAAAAGAGGGGGTTGAAATGGGGTCGAGTAGCAGTCGACTGGGGTCGGACCCATCAGGTGGGAGACTTAACCGCCGATCCAAACGGTTTTCCAGACTCTCTTCTCTTTTCTTCTGCGGTAGCTCTTCCTCTCATGCTCCTCTTGAGGTAATTGACTATAAAAAAGTTTAGCCCTTTTTTTTTTATTGGATGATTTGAGTTTGGTTATTCCGTTGCTGAATTATATACAAATATTATTAATTTTGGACTTTTTGATAATAAAATCAATACCCCATTTCGTGCTTTTTCTTAATTTTTTATGCTCAATAAACTTTTTGGCGATCTGGGTTTTGCTTAATTCAAACCAAAATCACTTCTTTCAGGTAAATTTGGGTATTTTTGTTTATAAAAAAAAATATTTCTCCATTTTTTTGTTTGCTCCAAAACAGGTTTGAAGTTACATATTATTTGATTTTATTTTTCCTCTCAAGTTCTTTGGTTCAATTAAAGTCTGGATAGGGAAAAGCTTTTAAGGTCTTTGCTTATATATTATTTGCAAATTATTGATTTTTATGTTTTTCAATTGACCACGTTAGGGGTTCCTCTATTGACTTTTTCCCCTTGATCATTTTTATCATTTTACTGGCTGAAATTTCTCGTTTTTTTCCTTTTAAGAATTCCAAACTTTAATGGTTGCATCTTTTTAAATAGTGCTTTACTTGATGATGTAGCGATCCTTCTGAAAGACAAGAAATTATGTTTCTATAATACTGGTCTGGAAGAAGGTTTTATACATAGAAGTTTGAGAGTGTCTGCCTTTCTTTTTTGGCATTTTGAACCTGTTTACTGCCCCACCAGTTTTTTCAATCATGTATGCACCCACAGCTTCATCATGGGAAATGCTATCAACGAAAAATGAGGAATCTGGTTCCTTACGGGATTTGGTTCTCATGCTGTGTCAGACTTTAGTTTCGACTAAAGAATATTTACTAATTCTTGCAGCCCCCTTGTACCAAATAAAAAACTTGTCCTGTTGAACGAAATGTGCACATTCAGCTGCCCCCTTCGCTTTTGGCCTAAAAGACAAACTGTCCCTTTTGCTTGCAAATTTTAAAATTACTGGTGGACTGTGTTTAAATTTCTGAAGTATGTTTTTCTCTGAATTTTACTCTTTCAAAAGAGAAATTTCAGTTTCACTTATCGATGCTTGCTCAGTTGTCAGTGTATCTTTTATTTGGAGGGAAGAATTGAAAAAGAAGTGCAATGTTCTTTTGCAGTATGTTATGTTGATTAGTTGGTACGTTTGTAAATCAAGACCACTCTTGGCTTAAATTAGCAACACCAAGTCTTGGAGATAGGCATTAGTTTAGCAAGTTTACTTGGTTAGATTGTTTTTCAGTTGATTTTTTACCTTTTCTTTTAACAATACAACTTTTGTACTTGAATAAGTTCATTTTTAGTTAAAATTCCATGAAGTAGCTTAACTTTTTAGCTTTCCTCTCGGTTCCAAGATGTAGACAGGAGGCAGTACAGAATCTTCTCTCTGGCATTGGGTTGAGCATCTCATAATTGTTGCTCCAAACCTGGTCCACCAAGCGAAGTCCATGAAGTCTTCATTGAGGATGCAAGAGTCAAGTGAATTCTGAATTCTGAATTCTGTTAGCGCCAGTAAATGTCTTGTGATTGCATGTTCATGAACAAGTTTATGTCTTGGAAGTTATCTTTTTTTTCTTTCTTTCTATTTAGATTGTAACCTAATCATCTCACGTGGAAGCTCTAGAATATGCCACAGGGAATGATGCAATACATTCTTTTGATGTAGATGGAAGATTATCCTGCTGAAATTCTGGTGAAGTCTGCAGAAAATTGTGACCCAGTTGCCAGCATGCTCCAAATTCCCCTGGAGGAATCTACTTCGATCTGCAGTATGGAAACAAGGTTCAGCAGCACAGGTACTGAAACTGGAATTCCAGCTGAAAGCAGTATTTCAGCCAGTGGGGATCCATCTATCGAAGGTGGTTCAAGAGATGTAGAAACTAGTAATTGTAGGAAATGTTTGACTGAAAGTACAGAGTTAGTTGCTCCTCAGGTAAGTGCTGATTATAGTCATGGTGAATCTCATAGGGATAATAGTACTTCAGCTAGCACTTCCTTTAAAGGACAACAATCTTCAGACCCTGTCTCAGTAAATCTTTCGACTAATGAGGATGCAGTCAGTGGCTTTGAAAATGCAAACAAGGGTGCCTCTCAGATCTGTCCTGAGCCAAGTGTTTTGTCTCCTCAAGGGCTTGAAGATTCACATTTGCATGGAATATCTCTTGAGAATCAGTTGGGCGAAGTTACAACAGTCCATAACTCGGGTTCGGGTTCTGGTTCTGCTCCTCATACCTCGGAACCGGTGACTTTTGACTCACCAGGAGTCGAATCCATTCGAGAGGCGATACCTTCAGGTTTAGGATTTCTTGTATCCAATAGGGAAATGAGCCGGGGAGATGGAAGCGTGCTTCACGTTGATGTTGTGAGTATCTCTTCCAATATTTTATCTGGTGGTAGTGGTGATTCAAGTAATCGTGAAGCCAGGAGGAATAGTAGAAGATTGTTTTGGGATGCATTTTCGAGACGCAGTTCTAGAAGACTTAATGATTCCCCGTCCATCTTTCTCTCAACGGGTGATACTGATGATACAGGATTTCATGACAGGTGGCTCCTTGATTTCAGTGGTGATTTCTTTTATGACGGAGCTGAAGGTGATTCTGGTTACCTCGGCAGTAGAATTCACAGCTTGAATGAACGAAGACGACACTCAAGATCAGAGGTATTTAATTGCGAAGCACTTTGAATTTAGAAGTTTATCCAACTTGCTTTTAGTAGATAGAGATGTGTAAAAACTTTCTTTAAGTAACTTGATTTATTTTGAAAATTATTTTGACTCCATTATATCTGGGTGTTGGGGGTTATGGTCTTAGGTATCTTTGAGCAATGTCCAATTTTTGTTAGTACATCTTTTGTATCTGATTATGCATGCATGAAGAATTTAATCATTCTAATCATGTGACAGCATTTATCAAGTTCTCTTTACCATTTTGGTGTTGAAGGCGATAGATATATATGTTCAATTTGTCTTTCTGTGCAATTAGGTAACTTTAATGAACTATCCCATTTGACTGTTTTCAGATCTGGGAGAGGCTGCGTGGTGGCCATGATGAAAATAGTCGGCGAACTACATTTTGTCCATCTGGACTCCACCCTGATGGCACATGCTCATGTGATTCTCTCTTGATGACCGATGAGTCTAGTGCTCGTGCAAGCATATCACGAATAGTTATGCTTGCTGAGGCTCTCTTTGAGGTAGTTTTCGTTTATCAACTTGCATGTTCTACCTGTATAATGTCAACTCATCTTGTTTATGTCATTGTTTCTTTTACTGTCCCTTGTTTTATGAGAAGATCTTGTATTGCATATTTGACCAAATTATAAAGTTACTTGTTAATAATGGTCATGGTACATTTTGTCCTACTGAAGAATGAATAAATATAAGGACTCTGATGATGTTGTAGTTGGATTTTGGGTGTTAAAAATGCTTTGTCTTCCGCATTTCTAGTATACCTTTGCAATACCTTTGCATTTGAGATGTTGATCTTTCTCTTATTGAAGAAGATTTTAGGTAGCATTTCTAGTATAATGGGGTGAGTGTGTATGTGATTAACTTTGTGCTAGTAAAATGGAATGTTGTGATGATTAACTTTTCTGCTCTGGGTGCATTAGATATTGATAAAACACCTATGGAGCTCCACAAGTTCACCTCATTTCTTCGTTCTGTCAAAATGAAATTTGTAGGTTTTGGATGAAATTCATCGTCAACCAGTATCACTTTCCCTATCTATGGTGTCACTCCCAGCCCCCGAGTCTGTAGTTGATTCATTCCCTCTCAGAAGTCACAAAAAAGTGGATGCAGCTAAGGTTGGAGATGCTGTTGAACAGTAAGTTCTTTCTTAATACTTGTAGATTACTCTTTCATAGGGAAAGGAGCCAATTTTTTTTAGTTTCCCCATGCCTTAATATTTTGTGTTTCTTTACTTATTGTATAAAGAATATCCTACTACTAATCTTATATGTAGGTGTTATATATGCCTGGCTGAATATGAGGAAGGGGACGAAATAAGAGTTCTACCTTGCCAGCATGAGTTTCATATGTGTTGCGTGGATAAATGGCTTAAAGAGATACACGGGTATCATTACTACCACCCTATACTTCCCCTGCACACTCTCTCTTTTTCTCTCTTTAGGGAACTGACCTCCCTCTCTCTGTGGTTTACAGGGTGTGCCCACTTTGTAGAGGTGATGTTCGTCAGGGTGTGGAGCCCGTCTCAAATTCTGAGATTCCCTCTCTTTGATAAAACTGTACATATGTAAGTACTACTAAATAGTAATGGATTCCTATACAAATGTTAAATGTTGTATTAACAGTATTTTATCACATCGTATTTCCTATATACTATGTTGTGGCATCTTTTCCTCATGATGTGGCTATGTGGAATTATTATGTATAGCAAATGGAGGAAATGGGGTCTTTCTAGCCTTGCATTTTACTCTGATGGCTACATCTTTAGTATATTCAACATGGCGGATTAATTCATCGAAACTTATGCCCACACCTTGCCTGAAGGATGAAGCTGGTTATTTGTTTTATTCTTGTACGGATATTAGGAGAAGAATTCTTTGATATCGCTGGTTTTGGAATTGTTTGGAGTAGCTTTTTAGGTGCAAGCGCTTATGGAGAGTTATTAAATGGAGATTTTGAAAAATATGCTGCCTAAGTGTGCAATTTTGTGCTATGTATGACAATTAGAGGGGGAAAACCGCTTTTGTCTTTCTTTCTATATTTATATATATATATATATATATATATAGTAACAAAAGGTTGATCTTAAAGGATCCCAATGTTGATAATGTTTTTGTCAAGACACATAAAGAAAGCCTCAGGGTCATGGACAAAAATCTACCCAAAGCCCAATATAGGCTGTTGCTCTTTAACTGAAGAACCAAAAATACAGGTTAGTCAGAAGAACAGACCTCTTCTTTCATGGGATACATCTTAAATGCACAACAACCAAGACAATACTTCAAAAGTACTTGCAAATGTCTGATACCAAAATATGATACAAATAAATAGTATAAACTTGCTTTTCACCTAACCCAGCAAAGAAGAGCCATGCCTTGGGTTCCAAAAGGGATTCTGGTTCTTGGAAGAGAGCTGATTCAGGTCTCAGCTTGTTGTCAGTGTGATCACAGGAGAAGGCATTATTTCTCAAGTCCTTAGTAGTGCCACTAGTGTGGTTATTAGCAAAGAGATTTGGGTGACAGTTCTCATCATCTTCAAAAGTTGTCCATCGCATTGAGTTATTCATCTCTCTGGTTGCATATCTCATGTTCTCCATCTCTCCTACATGGTCCTTGAATTCTTTCTTCACCACATCCAGTACAACATCTCCATTTCGATCACACCATGATCTTAAAAATTGGCAAAGAGGGCAGTTAGAAGTAGAAAAGCTGATGATCTGGCTTGAACTCTACCAAATCTTTATAATTCAAAATAATGTAAAAAAGATTCAAGGCCTTGTAGTTTGGATAAGCTAATGGCTGATACTGTACTACGATCTTCTGAAGTGATCTGATTCGTGCATGGATGATATAATTACCTAATTATACAGAATTATAGGCTTTTAATGTCACCCTGAAAATCAGTTTGCCTTCTTACCAAACAAAATATTACTGAATTAGGTGATTCATAATAGCTAACATCTCAGAATTTGTAAGCAGCAATAATGCAATAGCGTTCTCCACGCCCACAAACGCAAGAGAATACCATATGGTAATGAAATCAAGATTTTTATCATCCTTACTTGGGGAAGAACTTTTTGAGATCTGCCTTATCTGCAGGAAGGGTTGTGGAAATCGCTTCAATTTGATCGTTCCTAGTGGAATTACAGCAAACAAAAACTTAGGCAAGTGTATAAAATAGCTCTTGTGAAGCATACATTTATCTGTTATCCTCAAAATATTACTCCAAATAAAGATTTGATGGAATGAATTTGCTTACGAGAATTTAAGATTCGGATTGGTACTGGAGAGCTCCGTTTGAATGCGTGACAGCTCCTCCTTTATTTCGTCTCCTAAAACCTTCAAGTGCAACTAAGATATGAGCTCCAGGTTCAACAATATAAGCTAAGACTAATATACAATTAATAAAACTTTTCTGCAACATTGAAATGAACCTTATCAATGAAGAAATCCGATGGAACTCCATTTGCATGCAGCTTCCTCTTAATCTGTTTCGTGTCCGACCCGTCTCCAATAGGACTTGCAACAAGGTGGCATGACCCCAGGAAAGCTTCACTATCTGATCTTTCATTGAGAGGCAAAGGAGCAGTCTCATCCTCTGGATCGTCTCTCTTCCATTTCTTGAAACCATCAAAACCCCATTGCTTCTTAGCAGATTTTGATGCTTTCTCCTCTGAACCAGGGCCATAATCACCACCTCCACCAACATCTCCCTCTCTTTGCTCTATATGAAACAGAGTTCTAAATGGTTTTCTCTTTGCCTTATCAGTAACACCACCACTTTCCTTCATGGATTCCGTTGGCCATGTTTCTTCTTGCATGAGAATTGATTTTGTGTCGCTTTCCTTACCTTTCAAATGGCTATCCCAAAAAGGGTTTTCTTTAGAAGCCACCATAAAGGCTGATATTCTCGAATCTGCATCGAATATACTCTTTTCCGATCTGCTTTTACTTGGCTTCGGAGACGATCCGAAGCCAAAAACTGAGGCTGCTCCTTTTATCTGCATCATTGTGGAGTTGTTCTTTGATTTATTCTTGGAATGCAAGACATTGTCTCTATTACTGATGCAGTTTTCATCCTTCAAGTCAATGACAGACCATTCTTCTTCTTGATTCTCTTTCGAGTCTTTGGGGCTCGCAACAATTACTTCTCTGGACTCAATTTCAGCTCCTTGTACTGCTAACCGTTGCAACAAAGGCCTCTTTGAAAAATGATACTCCTCCTGTGATATGCATTTTGCATAAAGCAGTTCCTAGAAGAGAGGAAACCAAAGTAGAATCTCAGCAAATCCATTTTAACTCTATGCAATCTAATGCAGGCTAATTAAATCTTAAAACTGATTTCACTCACTCTCTTGCTTTGTTTTTCTTATACGCTAAGATGTAAAAATCAGCTGAATTAAGCTCAATTGACTGAGATTATTCATGAAAAGTACAACTTAATTTTCTATTTCTAATCAAATACCCAACCTGAAAAAATCACATAAATAAACAGAAAAAAAAAAGATAAATAAAGTGGCTGTTAACTATTTACCTGCAAGAAGACCAATTTATCCCTCAAAACAACAGGCTGCTCAAATTCAGGTGGGGAAGTAGTAAGGGTCTGAAGCAAATGAGTTCTAAAAGCTGCAACCTCAGCTTCACCCAAAATCCCTTCTTTGTGTAGGCCCATCAAGTTCAATATCTGGTGAAAGGAATCCTGCTGCCATTTCAGGTTGTCGGATTGCAGCTTGTAAAGCCTGTGTTCGGTGGCCGGTAACCGCCTTTTCTTGAATGAAAAAGGGAGGATTGTCTTGCAAAGAGAAGTGATGGAGTCATGGAGAGTGGAGTAGTATGTGGGGGTATAACTGTACACCATTTTTGACATTTTGCAGCTTGAAAATGGGTTGAAGCAAGATTTTAGAGTGATGATTTTAGTTGCCAGAGCCTTGATTTTTTATTTTTTTTTGAAGGAAAAATTTCGGGTATTCTATTTGAGTAAGGTGTGGGGAGAGCTTAAAACGGTCACTTGAAACTAGCCGTTGAGACCTGAGGGTTGAAAGACCGACGCCGATTATTAGTTGATGAAACGGTGTCGTTTTCCTCAATGTTTACTGTTTAGCGGGATCCATCCATTTTTAAAAAGCCAAACTTAAGTTTTGTATCCGATTAATATATATCATGGTCACATTAGAAGTATGATCCATAAATAATTTTTTTTTTGGGAAACACTGATCCGTAAATGATTAGTATTGCAATGAAATTGTCAGAATAATAGAAACCAAAAAACTATCACTTCCATTGTTGTTGGATTGTGTGAAAGCTGTATGGTTTTTTTCTTTCTTTTGGTTTATAGTTTAGAGTTGTCCAAATTAAATTAATCAGGCAAGTGTGGTTTTTGGGAAATTGCAAGTCTTTTTCAAATAATGCTTATCACTAACAATAACCTCTCTTTCTCTCGAAGAATCAACATATAACCATAAGTCTCACCAAAAGTAATGACCAATTAATTTTAAATCCAACTTATTTATTTTTAAATGTAACAAATTCTTCCATTTCACATATTTATTTATTTTTATGTATAAAAATCTCTTTCATTTCATAAATCTCATGCTGTTTTGTTTGGTTTTGTTTTAAATTTTAAATCCAAAATCTTCAAATAAAATTTCTAGGTTTTGCAACTTAGATGAGATAACACCATTCCACTAATTGAAATGGGAGTTAATTAGCTGACTACGTGAAAACAAAGTCATGGTTGAATCAAAAATAAATTTTTTATTTAAAGCTATCAAATATTAAGCTCTGATCATTGAAATTATCACTATGTTTTAAATATCAAATACTAAACTTTGATTACTAGAATTAACACTATATTTGGTTTTAACACTATATTTTCTTTACATTAACTTGACGGTATAATAAAACTTCTTAACAGCATTTGGGGGAAAAGATGTTGCTAAAGATGTGAACTACTAATTGTGAAAAAGGTCCAGTCAAGAGTCTGCTATTTTCTAACTTTTTACTACATAAACAATGTGCTAAAATGAATGAGATTAAAACTAGAAATTTTAATTCTTCTTTTGTTTTATTTCGTTGTAATTTTCACGGGAATTGTTATTTGAGTGAGGTGACTTAAATCTAAGTGAAAATGACAAAAGATTTTATATCTTGAAAGAACAGAAAATTCTGGTGATTACTAACTTGGTATCTTATGATCAACATCCTTATTCTCTCATTCTACAATATGGGAAGAACAATGATTTATTCAACGTAGGATTCCCATTCTACAACATGGGCAGTGAGCATTATTCTCTACCCATGGGACCAGGCACCTTGAGTGAAACCTATGTGCACACGGGGGATAAACCAGGGTCTCACCAGCCTTGAACCGTTCCAAGCAAATGGCACACTCATCCTGATCCGAGGACTTCCAACTCAACTTGGCCCAACTGAACCTCTTCTGACCACTCTTCCTTGATCCAACCACTTCTGTATGCAACTCCCTCTGAATCAAACTTCTCCCATCCACGCCCTTCAAACTTTCTTTGTTATTTTGCCTTTCAATGCCCAAAAACATAAGAAGAATAAGTGCAAAGACTAAAAAACTAATTCTGGTTCATGTTAGCAAGTAGCATAACAGTTTTGCTAACATGAGCCTAATATAAATAAAATACTCTTGCCATTTTGGACCTTTTGGGTTCTGATTTTCTTTGTGATCTCAGCCTCTCATCTAATCTTTCCTTAGCTTCTCTTGCTACCCCTCCTAGCTTCTCATCCTGATAGGCCTGAAATAATATGCTCCTTTGCTTCATTTTTTTTTTTCCAAATGAAACCCAAGTCAGTCCCAATTACAATCTCCTAAATATGGAAACATAAATTATCAGGAAACTAAAGCAGAAATACCTGTGAAGAAACAGAGCTATGATGAGTGTCATGGTTGCTTGTATACAAACAAAAAGAGGACCTCCTTGTCGACCCAATTGCAGCAACGCTTGGTGAATCAGATGACCCTCCACTTTGATGGAAACGTCTTCTTCTAGCACATTCAACGCCAGGAAGCATACCAGCCATTGATAAAATAAATACAATTGAGATCTAGTAACTATTAAATGTTATATTCAGGATTCAGGGTCTCCTCTGAATTGATTTTGTCTGCCTGTTTGAAGCTAGCTATTCCTGAAACAAGAAGGAAATTAAAGAGGAGGTGAACTGTAAAGAATTTGATACAATAAAGGATATAAAAAAATGGGGTGGGGGAATGATTGAAAAGTGATTGAATCTATAAAAACAAAGGGAGAACTGTTGGCACCTAATAGAGATTATAGTGGGAGACAACAGCGGGTCCATGCTATTGATTTATTAAGGAAAGTATCTTTCTCTATCATTTTCGACTTTCACCCATTGAAATTTGAAGATAGAAGAAGAAGAAGTTATGCAATGTTATTGTGAAGAGCCCATATTAACTGACATTAATAGAAAATTGGGAGGACAAGACTTGAGAGAAAGTAAATTAAGAAGGGAATGGAAAGGAAGGAGGCAAGGAAAGTTCGTGGTAACCTGGAATTCCGATTGACAAACGGTCACCTTAATTTAATCGCCAATCTCTCAAAAATCCACGTTATCTCACGGATTGAAGATATCAACTTCCTACAGCAAGTTATCATACAAAAATTTGATTAACTATGGGCTTTGGTTATGTAAGGTCAAAATTGTCAAAATATTTTAAACTCAATCCTGTCAACGTAAACTAAAAGGGCAAAAAAAAAAAAAAGGATTTGGACGGTATAAATAAAAGAGAAATCTTCTTTTTTTTTTTTTGTAAGAACAAAATTCAAAGTAAGTAAGTTGTTCAGTCTCTTAAATTAAAATAAGATATGTTTTGATAATTTAAAATAAATAACTGCAAATCGTATATTTAAGATAATTCCAACAAATTATTACCGATAATATTCGAATCTAAAATTTTTTTATCGAAAAAAATAACTTTAATCGATTAAACTAACCACTTACTAATAAAATTTTTTTTATATATAGGGAAAGTTTAAATAAATATCTCATCTTTTTTTTTTTTCATTTGACAATTCATTGCAATTTCTCTTTCTTTTTTCTTATATAATTGAATGCCAAATAACAAATATTATTTTAATATATAATTTTTAAATATTTAATCTCAACTTTATTTTTTTCATATTTAAATACACATTTTTAGTGTAAACTTTATTAGAGATATAAATTTAAATTATATTAGGATGATTTTTAAACGTGAATTTTTTAGGAATATATTAAAAAATGTCATCTCATAAGTTTTAAAAATCTAATAGTATTACCATACATCTATCAACATAAAACTAACTCTCATTCAATTTATTATTGTTTTGGTGCAATTCAATCTATTACTCATTGATTAAATACAAAAATTTATTTTCTAAAAAAATAAAATTTTGGATATTAATTCAAAGAAGAAAGATAATAGACATATAATCACATAAACTCGATATATTTTTTTTCTTTTGCTATATAAAAGAAATCAAAAGTCAAATTTTAAAATACATATTTTAATATATATTTTAACTCTATATATTTGTATTATATTTATATAATTTTATTTAAAAATATTTTATCTATCTAAACAAAAAAATTTTATATAGATTCCTCGAAATTTTAGATTTTAAACTAATTGAGGTAAAATTAATCATGATACAGATTAATTATATTTTAAAATGGTAGTACTAAAAACATGGTCTTGAAAAAAAAAAAAAAAACACTGCATATGATTTCGAAAGTATGCCGAAATTTCTTTGGCAGTAGTGAGAGAAAAGCCAAGAACTTCACGGCTACAGTCAATAGGAAAGAGTTTACCCGAAGCTCAGTTAGGTCTGGGATTTGTCGATTGAGATGACGTGACCTTTTAATTAGCCGAGTTTTTTTTAATGGACTTAGGTCCTGAGGAAAAGATTGCCCCTAGCATTCTCCCCTGGTTACTTGCACGTTTACCGGCCCCCCACCAGAAACCACGCACTTGCGTGCAAGGGTGAGCAACCTGACTAACCAAATTCCCTCTATCTTCTTTTATTTATATAGAATAATTTTCCTTCTTTTCCCTTTTGGCCAACAAGTAGTTTTCTTTACTCGTATGCATTATTAATATTAAAATCTATGAGTTTGGTAAATTTACAATCATAGTCAATTAAATATTATATCACTTAATTAATAAAATAATCAATTAATTAATTAATTAAAATATAATTAAATAATCAAATTCATGTACAATAAAATTTATATTTAAGATATCCGAATTTTAAAGTGTGCTTTTTATCATTAAACTAAGATATCATTAAAACTTAAAAGTTAAGTTAAAATTATAATAATAAAATAAAATTAAAGTATTTATATCTTTTATTTTTAAAATTTTGACATAAAATAACTTCTTTTTTTCTCAAACATTATTTATTTTTTCAATTAATTTTTTTTCTATTTGTATCCACATAGTGCCCTGAGTTTTAGAGGTGTACACATTTGTCAAAATATGGCTCAACCCGATAATTCGAATTTTTAATTTTACTCAGTTCCATCATGATTTATTAATGATATAGCTTAAGCTTGTTCAAATTATTTATTTCTTAAAAAATTAAAAAAATAAATACATGTTATTTTTTTATTAAACTTAGTAATTTTTTTATTTAGTTTTAAAATATGGATAACATAATATAATTTTTAATATTTACAATGCAATATCATATATTTATGTTTTATATAATGTAAATTATATAATAGATAAAAATATAATAATGATATCTATTGTATAATTGAAAAAAGTCTAAAATAATAAAAAAAAATCCTTAAACTTTATAACTTTACTTAAATAAATTTGTATACTTTTATTGCATTTAAATAAATTTTTAATTTTTAATTTACACTTAAATAAGTCTTTACCTTTTAATTTGTATCTAAATAAATTCTTAAACTTTTTAATTTATATCTAAATAAATTCTTAACTTAAATAATTATTTCATTTAAAATAATGCTTATTTGAATAAAAATCAAAATATAAAAAATTATTTGAATACAATAAAAATATAAAAAATTATTTGAAAAAATAATAATAATTCAAGAGCGCTTATATATATATTTATTTATATTTATAAATGAGTCAGCCGTGTTGGTCCTGAACCTTGAATGTTGGACTCAAAGCTTGATTATTTTTTAAATGGATTTTTTTTCTATATCTATTTATCACATTTCATATTTTTATTTAAATCTTTTCAAATATCAATCGGAGCCTTAGTTTAACTGATAAATATAATGTATAATATTTAATTTATTACTAAGTATTGTTTTATATACCGTCTAAAAAGTTAATTTTATAAGCAAGATTAATATATTATAACATATGCAACATTTTCAAATATTTATTTCGATTGCAAAGTTGAATTGACTTGATCAAAGCAAACCAAGAAAATATTAAATATAAAATCTTTATATATGAATATATTAAGAAATAAGTTTTAGATGTTATCTATTTCAAGGCTTTACCCGTGATGCTAAGACAAATTAGTACACGAACTTAATCTTAAGATGGAGATCTAGAGAAGGGTCAACTAATTCAAAAATCAAATATACATAAATTTTAAAATTTTAATGAAAATATTAAAAAATATTTATAATTAGTATTAAACTTTTAATTTTAATAACTAATGATCAATTATAGTATAAATATACAAATAAAATCATATTCATAAAAGAATTTTTATAATCCGTATTTCTTTTCGAAATTTGAAGAGAATATTATTACATAAAAAATTAAAAATTAATTAATTTTAACATATATTATTATAAGTATTTAATGATAAAAATATATATATTTTTTTATATTAAAAATCTTCAACAATAATTAAAGATAATTTTGATATTTATATCGATTTAATATACATATTCAATATCACATCAATTGATTATATTTTTATAATTATTTAATTAAATTATTTTTAATTTTTTTATTATTTTCATTTAATCTCATTTATTTTAATTAACGCATCAAAATACAAATATAAAAAAATATTCTCTATCTTTATGTTAACTGTCTTTCTCTTCTATCTCTTTTAAAGTAATCACATATTCACTAGTGTCCGATATATATCACCCTTGCACTTTTAATAATTCATCATAAAAGAACTTCAACTTGATAAAAAATTTTGATTTGATTCAGACAATTGCTGACGTGGGATCTGCAGATTCCGACCTCCCATTCCCTTTCCCATTTTCTCCTCTTCTCTTCTCCCCTTCCAATCCTTCAAAGTTTTCAGTATCTCAACGCCGATAAAGCAGGTTACTGGACGCCGACATACTATTACGGGCGCCATCATGGCCGGATTAGGCCTTAAGAGGCCGAATTCGTCCTGACGACGTCGGGTCTACACAGATCTGACCCGTCCTCCCTTTTTCCCCTCCTTCATTCAAATTTTTAGGGGTATTTTCAAAAATTAATAAAAGTAATTTGGCTTTTTTTTTTAAAAACTTTATTCAGAAGCTGAGCAGGTCATAAAGAATACTACATAGTTTTCTTTGTACATATCATTTTTCAGGTACAAAGCCTCTCCTGCCTAAAAAGAATCATGTTATAAATAAATTATAATCCCTGTCCCTGGTGATCCCAGCTGTATTACTTTGGACATAGGCACTGACAAAAAAGCATAGAATCAAACTAAGTCCGGGTTTTTAGCTGAAATTTTCAATTATAAGTTGTAACCAAGCATGCTTTAAATAACCATTTTATTGAAAAATTAATTCATTATTCTCTTCTCTCTTCATATAATAAATTAGATCTGTTCATTGAGATTAACTATCAAGTTCCATGATTATATTTTATTATTATATAATTAGTTTTTATATAATTTTAATAAAATGTGTATGAAAAATATAAAAATATAAGAGATTAATTTACATAAAAAATTCTATTTTTTTAATTCTTGATTTTAATAAATCAAATGATAAAATTAAAATTTTTTTTCTTTTTCATTTATATCTCTTACCTTTGAATCTATTGAAATTAATGATAAAAAATGTATAAAACTTTTAATTTTAAAGTTTTACATTAGTGTAAATTAATCTATCCACACACACACACATATATTGCTTTGGTAAAGGGTTAAAAGACTTTGTCTTAATTTTATTATTGATGAATATATAATGACTTTTTTTTGGGTGAAAAATGAATATAATGACAAAGTCTAAATTCCAAAATGATTCTAAATCTTACTACATTTATTTTACATGAGTTAATTATATTTTTTATATTTAAATTTTCAAAAATTGTACAAATTGGTGCCTAAATAATTAAAATGTATAATTTACATCCTAAATTTTTAAACAATGTATCATTTTAATCCAAATTATAACATTGTTAACTTGCTTATATAGTATCTAATCAATATAATTTTATTATATGTATATTATTTGTTAAATAAAATTATTAAAATTATAAAAAAACTTCATGTCAATGTCAAGTGAATTTTATATGATAAATAATAATTGACCAATTTTAGATAAATTTTAACATTTAGGCAAAAAAAATAGAGATTTTTAATTTATATTAAAAATATTGATATTTTGTGTAGTGATCACATGATTTGATAATATTTATAAAACTTCAAATATTAAACTAATATAATTAGTAAGAGTAAAGTTTGAGTTAAAGTAATACATAATTTAAAAGTCCAGTACAAATTATATATTTTAAAATTTTAACTACTAATTTATATATTTTCTCAAAGTTCACTTACCAGTCCAAAAGTGTAATTAACTTATTTTACATGTATAAAAGTAAAATCATGCATTTTCAAGATATGTTTTATATTTTGAGTTAATTATATTTTTGATACTCAAACATTGAGAAAATGTATAAATTAATATCTAAAAAAATAAAATATACAATTTGCACCCAAAACTTTCAAATAAAGTATAATTTACGTCTTCAAACTCAAACTCTAATTCTGTTAATTATAAAATATTTAATATTTTTATTCAACAAATATCAAATATGAAAGTTTTTATAAAATATTTAATATTTTTATTCAACAAATAACATGCATATAATACAAGTGAGTTAAGTTAATATTATTAGAATTTCAATTAAAATAATATATTATTTGAAAATTTAAGGTGTAAATTGTATATTTTATTTTTTAGCTATTAATTTATATATTTTCTCAAAATTCAAATATCAAAAGTATAATTAACTTTTATATTTTATATCAAAATGCATATGTTAGACCTAGTGGCAAACAAAATTTTACCTAATTGAAGCTTATATAGTTTAAATGTACTAAATAAAAAAAACAACAACCAACAATAAATATCCATTTCTAGAACTAAACCATTGGACTAATATTGTCTTTCATGTGATAAGAAACTACAAAAATATAACCTAATGAAGGCAATTTTCTATCAATATATATCAACAAAATCTTAAAACATTTTAACTTTTAATGAAATTTTATCTATAATTTTTGTTGGAGTGATTGAAGAAATTTGCAAACAAATATGAAAGAGAAAATAAAAATAAAATACATGTTAAGGCTTTAATATCTTTTTTTTTTTTCATCAATGCTATATGTCTTCAAATTTAGCATGGTATATAAAGTCAGATATACCTACCTTTGAAAGGGTATGTCTTCATATTACTAAAGTTTGTTTTGTACAAATCATTTTTCGAGTTAGGCATACGATATTTTTACCCGAAAACTAAAGAATAAGTAAAAAAGGTCATCAAGAACTAGTTGTAACAGTAATTATTTATCCTAAAGCTTTTAATTTAATAGTTAAAGACACTTGAAGAGATATCAATGATTTGGTTTCGAATCAAATCTCTCATTTCTGTTACTTATATTAAGATTTTGCTCTCTTAATATAAAAAAAAATGATTCTTTAGATTTTATTTAAGCGACATATTATTTAAAAGTTTTTATTAACTTGGACTATAAAAACACTTTGTTTTATTTTTAAAATAAAAAGTAAATCATAAAAGTAATAACCAAATCTAATTGGTTTACTATTTCTAATCAATCACATGATTGTTTAACTACAAAAATCATGTTAACTATAGAAATCAAATTTTAATCTAAATAAAAAATGTAACAAGAAAAGAAAGATACATGAGCATAAATCCAGGCCCCAACAAATTTCTAAAATAAAGAAACTGTAAAATCATTAATCTCCATTGATTTTTAATTTCTAAAATTACCGGAGACACCCCTCCCCTCAATCCGGGGGTTCAAGTCTCGTTCGAATAATAACGTTCCATCGTTTCCGAACCATTCGCATCCTTTTTGGTAATTTCACCTGATGCACACTTTATATTCCACACCTTTTTTTTCTCATTTGCAAAAAAAAAAAAAAAAAAAAAAACATTATTCCTCAAAGGTAAAAAAAAAAAAAAGGTTAACTATGAGCAGCGAAATAGAACCAACCCCTCCAGCTTCTCCGTCATCTCTAAAACAAAAGCTGAAATCTTCTCTGCGCCTTCCATGGCTCCGCAACCACAGCCACCGCCATCATCACCACCAACGCGTAGCCGTAAGTGCGTCAACAACTCCTCTTCCGACCCCTAGTACAAGCCCTCAGGGTAACAACCATAACAAGCCAGGGCTGAGCAGGACATCGTCCTCTACGTGGCTTAAGTCCCCGGAGTTTAAAGACAAGTGCCGTAATTTGATTAACCGCATTGGACATGGTCCTGGTCACCGTCATAGCCGCAGCCTCAGCCACAGCAATGGTCATGGTTATCAAGGCTACAACCACGGCCACGGGAGACGGCACTCTGCGGATTTTCGATATGATCCGTCGAGTTATGCGTTGAATTTTGATGAAGGGAGCGACGATAGCCAACTTGATGGGTTCCCTTTCAGAAACTTTTCTGCTAGGTTGCCACCATCTCCTACTTCTTCTAGGAAAATCACGGCTAATAATTAAAAACAAAAGAGTTTGGTGCTTTAATGGGTTTATTGTGTTTTTGAGATTAATTTGCATGGGAAAATGATGGCCAAGTAAGGATATATACAGACAATTCTTTGTTTAAAAAATTGCTTGGAATTATATATAATTTTTTTCTATAATATTTTCTTTTGGATTTTCATCTAGTTTATCAGTTTAATCTAATATGAACAAAGGAAATTAATAATAGATGAGTTCAAGTCTCGGCCGGTGATAAGTACAAAGCTTTTGAAACTTTTTAAGCTTTAAATTCGAATTTCATTATAAGTTAATTTGATTCAATTTTACGATGGTTTTTATTAATTTAATTAAAATTTTTTCTTGTATAAAAAATAAGAATCTCATAATGTTTGTTAAAAATAGTTTGATTCTTATTTTGATTCTAATTTTTACTTGGAATGTAATTGCATAAAATATTTATTAAAAAGGCAGATGTGTTTAATTAAGTTAATAAATATACGTAACGGATACATATGAAATTTACTTTTAATTAGTTCATATAATCACTTTTAAAAAATAATTTCATATTCTTAGACTATGGTTTTTTTGGTACAAAAAATATATATGATGGATCTATTTATATAAATGTAAAACTAAATAGTTTTATACTTTTTTTGACTTTTAATCTTTATTTAATTTAATAGTTGATAAAGTTATCATTTAGATTTCTTACCACATTTTAAAATTTCTTTGTTTCTTTATCTCTTTCTTCAACAAAATAAAGATTTTTTTCCTTTAGTTTTCGTTTATGTATCTTTCATTTGATAAAAAGTTTATGAACATATTTGTGTTGCTACAAGAATCATACATTAGTTTCTTGTTCCTTGTCATTGATAAAAAGATTAGAAAATTGATGAAGCAAATCATATATAGTCGTTATTATTTCATCCAATATAAAAGCAATAAATAGAATGATTTCACCATTTATTCATAGAAGTTGCCATTAGATTTATCAAAAAAATAATAAAAAGATAGTATAAGTTGCACTAATGCATTAAAAAAATGAGTTTTAGAAAATAAGGGATATAGGGGTTTATTTTTGTAAGAACCATTTTGGCCAAAAATTTTTTCTTATTGTAAGAACCATATTCAATGATGATGATGATAATAATAATAATAATTGTTGGCATTAAAAGAACGCATAGGAGATGTTATTTGTGAGCGCTAGACTGAAGGATAAAATCATTCTTAAGTTGATCAAGCATCAGAAATATTCGTCCACTACAACAGAATCCTAACAAGAATTGGAACCATGTTTAGTCTGTCAGGAAGAATATGCAAATGGGACTGTTGTTAGAGCCAGAAAGTCATTCGATCCAAGCCAATAATAGCGTGGGTTACATTTGATTTAAACCAGCTTTTCTTACTCGTGAACTCAACTTTAAAAAAAAAAAAAGTAAAACAAGAAAAAAGAAATTATATGAACTAGTAGATATGATGAAGAAACGAAATATTTGAATGATATTCATATATCAAGTATATTCATATATCAAGTAGAAATAGGAAAGAAAGCAATGGATGAAAGTTTTTAAAAAAAAGAACGAGAGTGAAAGGAGGTGCTTATAGTAAATGATTAATTTAATTACCGAGAAACGTTGATCATCTCCTGATCGTTAGATTAAACACAAACCAATGGCCAAATTAGAGATCAGCAGGGCCTAGAACTCATCTTTCCCAGATATAAAAAATAGGGAATTCGATTAGCGGCATTTGCCTTTAGGCCCATCTGGATTTTAGGAAAAGCCTAATTAAGCTTAAAAGCAATGAAGCCCAAGCAGTTCATGAGGCCTCATTTGAAGATTCTCCCCATATTGTTCAAAAAGTGTGCTGTAATTTTGTCACTAACCCCTTGTGGATTCACCGTTTTAGTTCATCAGTTCGCCCAATCTATGTACCTCACGCAACTATATATTAATCGTCTCATCACATCACCTTTTTTATTTTTAGTTTGCTTTGATGTCCATCCAGCAACTATTACGATTCAAATTAAAAAAAAAAAAACAAAACATCTGGACTGATGTATATACGGTAATTAAGTAAAGCTTGCTCCAGGGACCAAGGTGACGTAGCCAAGTAGGAAATGGATATTGTAGGCTGACCCATTACCCAGTAAATGAGCATCATCAATATCTATCACAAAGTGTCTTATCTAGTTGTTTCAACCGAAAAGATGACAGAAATCGAACGTCTAGTGTTTCATACCGTTACCGATTTTAGCAAATTCTCTACGAATAGGAAACACTTTATGTCCCACAAAAATAGGTTTTAACAACAACCGGTCAAGTCGTTGGTTGTTGCAAAGACGTTTCTCGGGAACCCAATTAGGTAAGATGATTTGTACATATATCCGTGGCTTATTTAGAAGATATTTTTCTAATGTAAAACGATTTCAAATTTTCTTGGGAGGAAAATTTGGAAGGATAGAAGATCTTTCGGTTTCAGATATTCATGATTCACCATTGATGAGATTAGCTTTGGAATTAAGAAAAGTAATCATATGTTTACTATGAAAGTCATCGTAATGGCACATTAAGATATTATGACACTGTCATTGGGTTTTGTCTTCTACGTGTGATGATCTCTTTGGCAAACTTAATTATATTATCAAAGGAAATCATAAGGGAGGAAAATTCAACATTGATATTTGATCCTACGTAGAACCGCTAGCAATATAAATTCAATCAATTGCCACAAATGTCAATATTTAATTAACTAGGAAGAATATTGAATGTCAGAAGCAACTACGAAGAAATAACTCATGGAAGACAATTACTTTCCATGGTCCTTCAACAATTGGATTAATCAATATTTAACTCAACCTTGTGATATTTAATGACAAGTATTTATCACTGTAAACAATTATTCTTTCGGTACATTCATGCCAACTAATCAAAACATGAAAGCAGCCAAAAAAAAAAGGATAAAAAAAAAACTCAAGTCTGATTTGGTCTTTATGTTTTGCTTAAGCAATCTGCATTTTGGTAAAAGAAAACAAAATCTACATTACCACAGCCTTTTTTTTTTTTGGTTTTTAATTATCAATGACAAAGGGAAATCTATCAGAAAAACTTTTCACCAATAAAGTCAAGTAACCTTATCTTATATATATTTATTAGTAGTTTTTTTTTTTTTATTAGATAATCAAACGCGGTTTCTCCACGGAAAACAAACTTTTAGTAGGTTTGGATTTTTCTCCACAATTCCTTTTTGCTTTTGCTGCACTACGTTTTCTTGCCCTTGATTTCATTTAGTTTTATTTTATTTCTAATGCAAATAAATTAATTAAAGTTCTTTTTTTATATATTGATAACAAAATTTTTAATCCTATATAATATTCTATTATAACATGCATAAAAATTTGATAAAATTTACTTACGTGAATGCTTAGGTAGATAACCTATATTATTGATACATAAGATATTTTAAAATAATTTTATTAAATCAATTATTTAATTTTTAAAAATTTTAAAGTTTCAAAATTTACATTTATCAAAATATTTTAAAATATATAAGATTTATCTTGATTTAAATCTAATAAAATATATCTTCTCATATTTAACCCTTACTCAATCCAAATAGTTTTTAAACGTTAAATTCTTAAATCATAAAAAATTATACACCATCTAAATTAATATTCATATACATTTAAATAAATAAATTTTGTGGTTGAACTATCCTTATTTATCAATTTTTTGTCTTTATTTTTTTATAATTTAAAATAAAAAATATTTTACCTCAATGTAAAATTGCACATATTTAAATTAAAATTATACTAACTTCTTTTGTCTTAATTTAAAATTAAACTTGGATAGACTAAATTTTTAAAAATTTAGATTGTTTTAAATTAAATAATTATTAAATATATATTTATGATTTTTTCTCACAATCAATATTTTATTCTTTTTGTCATAAAAGTTTGACAAGATAAAGTTTCAAAATTAAATATGAAAAAGTCTTTCATGATATATCATATGTGTAAATCTTAATTTTTATTCCAAAAAAATATATGTTTTTAAAAAATTATGTAATTGTGAATAAGAGATTAACTTTTTCATTGATATTTGTATATATTTTCATAATTTAAAACTTTCATAATGCTTATTTAGATTTTTTTTTAATTTTAAACTACAAATTATAAATGATTATGATTATCTTTATTTATTTATATATAATATAAAAATTAATATAGATTAAAATTTTTAATTATAAAAAATATAATAAAAACTCCGTGCATGACATGGGTAAAAAAAACTAGTTTTACAATAAAATCAAAAGGTTATTACATATTTTATTTTTTAATTATTTTTAAATTTTTATTATATTTTAAAAGATATGTATTATCTTATTAATTTTATAATTTATAGAATTTAAAAATATAACTATCAATGAATATGATAATTTTTTGATTAATTGAAAAGTTTAAGAAATCTTTTAGCCCAAAGCGTTTAACAAATAATAATACTTTAAAAAGATGTTCAACTAACAACCGTCCAACAAAAAAAAAATATAAACTAACAACTGCCTCCACCATCATTAACGGCTTTATTCTAAAACAACTGGTCAAACGTTGGTGGTTCTTGCCTCCCCAGGCCCAACAACATTTCCTTTGGTCGCCCTAGTGCCTAAAGTATTTTTTATTTGTTTGACAAATGCCAATTTTTAATTTACAAAGGGAATCGGAGTACCATGATCACAATTAAGCTCTGTTTGGTTTGTTTTTTTTTTTTTATATATATATATAATTTTGTGGCCTTCGTCAAAGGCGAAATTAAAAATGCAAAAAAATGTTTAAATCCAAAAAAAAATGAAAATTTTAAAAGATTATGCACAAAATATGTAATGCTTTTAGATATTAAAAAACATGTTTCTTCTTTTACATAGACTAATTATGTTGTAATAAGATGTTATGTTTTAATCATTTTAGTAAAACCTTACTTGTTTATTATGAATTTAGGAGAATTGAGGGAAAATTTTTTAAGAATAGTAAAAAAAAAAAATTAAAGAAAGATGAAAGAATATAGACAAAGATTTTTTTTTATTTGGTCGAATATATGATTAAGATGAAAGAACATATCTTGATTCTTGAGTAACATACTTATAAGGTACTAACTAGAATAACATAAGTTACAAAACCATGAGACCATAGTACTAAAAGAGAGAGAAGATCAAAATAAAGAGACTTTAATTTAAGGTTCATTTAAGAGTTTGATGGAAAAGATTTTATCATAAAATTTAACTGTAAAACTCATTTTGTTTGGTATGCTAGAAAGTTTTAACTTTTTAATTTGGCTCCCAAGTATACTCTTAAAAAGTTAGTTGAATATGTTTTTACTAAACCAAATAAAGAAACGAATAAATGCTAATTTGATCTCATTAACTTGAGAAGGCGAATTCTTTTCTTGATGGGGGAAAAGAAAGCATTTGGAATAGGATTATGGGTAAAAATTTAACTAAAAAAAAAGTAAGAAAGACATTGGGTAGAGAGAGCCCACCACAGTCCACTTCATACAAATTGGACTTGTCACCATCGTCTCTTTTCAGTTTCTATAAATCATCCAAGTCCAGATCCTTCCCAAAAAAATACGTATTCTTTGGGTTTTGACTGAAATTTTGCATGAACAATCCACGTGCCGTCACCCCTAATCTCTCTTTCTTTAATTTCTTATAACTTACGAAAAAAAAGTTGATTGAAGTCCCTGCCATTTTCATTCCCCTTCAGTTTTCTGGAGAAAATTAAAAACCTCCCTCACCACCCTGAGAAAAAAAGAAGACAATTTCCATAATGAATTTTATTTTCGAAACAAAATAAAAACCAAAAGACCAGATTCCCAGAGAGAGGGAGGGAGACTGGAAGCAGACAGGCAAAAAGAAAAAAAGTTTGGAACAGAGAAAAGATTTATCGAAAGCGCAAAATAAAAGAAGCCCTGAATCAAAGGCGACCTAGCACCACCACCGACCCAGTGTCTCTGTCTCTTCTACTTCCATCGTAACTCTCTCTCTCTCTCCCCTTCTCTCTCTCTGTCTCTCACCGCTTGAATCTGGTACTTAGTAATCTTTGTTTTGTGACTTTTGTTTTTAAAACTCTGTTTGTTGCTTTTAGAAAAGATCCTTTTGTCCGAAAGAAGGTTTATTGCTGTTTCGTAGAGATAGTATGTGAAAATTTTACTATATTTTAAGGAAAGAAACAATACCCAGAAACAAAAACCCTAGCTTTTTCTCTTCCACACTTGATTTGCACTACATTTAAGCTGATATCCCGTTTTAGCTGAACCCTATATTATAGATTATGGCATTTGATCAAAACTCAATACCGAAAGATCTAAGACCATTGAATGTAGCTAGAACTGTAACTGAAGAGCCCCGCATTGCGACTGCGGTGGCAGCTACTAGTAATGCCAGTGGTAGAAATATTGGAGGGTTTTTTCCCAACCCATCTCGGGAGCCTGGGAGTCCTGGTTCCAGGCCTGTTTTTTATCCAGCAACGGTGACTGATGCTGGTTTTGTAGGTTTAGGGTATGGGAATGCGGTGCCCTTGGCATCAGGTGTCCCTGCATGGAGCCCTCACATGCCGATGCCTGTGCCAGTGGGGCATCCAAGTATGAACCCAGTTGTTGGGGTTGGTTATAATCCCAATTTGAGCAAAATGGTGGCTGCTGATGCCGTGGATCAGGTTAGTAATGGAGTGGTAGCTGTGCATGGTTATAGTCCTAGTTTGGGCAATGGGAATAGTGGGAATGGGAGTGATCAGGCAAGTAATGATATGGTGCCAACAGGTTTTGAACATAGTTCCAATATGGGAAACAGGGGTAGTGGCGGTGGGAGTGATCAGTTGAGTAATGAATTAATAGGTGGGCATGGTAATAAACCAAATTTGGGTCTTAGAAGTAATGGCAGTGGGGCTGATCAGGTGAGTGATGAGGGTGGGGATGATTCGGTGTCAGGGAAAAAGGTTAAGTTCTTGTGTAGTTTTGGGGGGAAGATATTGCCTAGACCTAGTGATGGGATGTTGAGATATGTCGGGGGGCAGACAAGGATTATTAGTCTTAGGAGAGATGTGAGCTTTAATGAGTTTGTGCAAAAAATGGTGGATGCTTATGGGCAACCTGTGGTTATTAAGTACCAGCTTCCTGATGAGGATCTTGATGCATTGGTGTCAATTTCATGCTCAGATGATCTTGATAATATGATGGATGAGTATGAGAAAGTGGTTGAAAGGTCTTTGGATGGGTCAGCTAAATTAAGGTTATTTTTGTTTTCGGCTTCTGAACTTGACCCTTCTTGTATAGTTCAATTTGGGGATTTGCATGACAATGGGCGGAAATATGTTGAGGCAGTGAATGGAATTGTGGATGGAGCTGCTGGTGGCATCACGCGGAAGGAGAGCATAGCAAGTGTGGCTTCAACACAGAATTCTGATTTTAGTGGGGCTGATGCTGTTGATAGCATAGGTGCTGGTCAAGGGGATGTTACTGGGCCTCCATCAACTAACATGTTGTCACCTAGAGGGAATTCAGGTACTGCTCATGACACTGCTACAAAAATGGTGGATGTGGATCCTAATCCTGCTGTTCATGCAGATACTTCTGCTGTTCATTTAGGAATTCCAATGGTTAAGTCTGGTCCCCCTCAAACATTGTGTTCTCAACCTGAGGTTGAGTCAGAGAGGACGGTGCCCCCTACTTCAAAACAGCAGCAATTGGGATATGATTTGCAGAAACACTATGCTTCTACATATATTGATCCTCACCATGAAGTTATGAACCGTACTGATTATGTGCATCTTGCGCCTCAAATGGAGTTCTCGAATCCTAAGCTGGTGGGGAATACTGGTTCTATATTCGGCCAGCAGCAGTTTCATGATAATGCTATCCATCATCAGTTCATTCCTGCTTTGCACATGACAATGACTCCTTCCACTTCCCATGTTGGTATTAGACCAGCACTGGTTCAGCCACTGTTGCCACTGTTGCAACCCCAGCAAATACCGGTGGAACGCTATCCTGATGAAAGCTCATTCAGAACTAGGGTAATTCAGCTTCCTGTTGATCAGAGCCACAGTGTTTATCAGGCCCAGATTCCATCAGCAATGGTTGGAGGAGGTTATGCCTGGCCTCATATTCCACAAACTGAGCATGTTGTCTTCTCAGATGGATCATTACCTCGGCACCAAGTAGCTATTCCTGAGAAGATCCCAAGGCTAGAGGACTGCTTGATGTGTCAGAAGGCATTGCCTCATGCACATTCTGATCCTTTGGTACAGGACCAAAGAGATAGTGGTGCAACACCTTTGGTAAATACAAATTCAATGTATCACAGTCTGTGTCCAGAAGATGCTATGAGAATTTCATCAGTAAACAGAGTTGTGGTGACTGGACCATTAGGGGATGGCATTCTGGAACAAGGAGCTAGGGTTCGACAGCTTGGTCATGTTGACCATCAAGTTGGAGGACTTCAGTCAGAGGCAGTTGGATTCTCTCAAGGTCTTGATGCACAAAATGAACATGAAAGAAATATTTCCCCAAGAATAAATAATTCTGATTATCCTAGAATTTCAGCTAGCCAGGGCTTGATGGGTTTGGCAGGTGAGTTACAATCACCATATGTTTTGCCGACTCAATACCAGGTTAAACTGGAGGTTCCACATACTGGGGCAATTGGCATTCAAGCTTCAGAACAGCCAGTGCATGAAGCCTCAAGAGAATATCATGGCAAGATTCCTTTTGTGCCGAAAGAAGATAATGTAGACCCTAATCAACTGATTGCAATTGATGGGATGGAGACTCTTAGGATAAGCAATGAGCAGAGGAATTCACCCGTTGATCAAACAAGAAAAGAAGATATCTTGGATGAGAGATCTCCAAGAATAGCTGGGAGAGAGGTGCTTTTGGATAATTTCTTTAGCAAACCAATGGACTCCAATGAGATGGCTATTTTGGGTAATGTAGTAACACATGCACAACCAAAAGCTGGAGCACAAAACTTGGATTCTATTGAAGTTCGATACGGGAACCCTACATTTTCTGGTGTTGAGTCAGCACATAAATTGGATGACGTTATATGGATGCAGCAGAAGACTGTACAAAATGACATTAAAGCTGCTCCTTTGAATGCTAACACCCAAGCTTCCTTTTCACCATCCAATAGAGGTAGAGATGTTTTGGATTCCTCCAACTCACTTTTTAGCAATCAAGATCCATGGAATTTACGGCAAGATACTCACTTTCCTCCTCCTAGACCTAACAAAATTCAAACAAAGAGAGAAGGATTAGCTACCAGAGGCCCTTTTGGAGAGAACCAGGTAGTAATTAGTGGGGAATCTAATACCCAATTGGAAGATGACGTTTACCAGCCATTAAGCCATTTAAACAAGAATTTCAGTTCAGACGACACACAGTGCACAAAAGGTGAGATATTTGATTTTAGTTTGCTATAAAATGTTGGCAATTTTTACTTAATGCGAGGATAAATGTTTATTGTTGTTGCCTTCACTGCCAAAGGCTCAGCTGAGGAACTCATCAAGAAAGAACTACAAGCTGTTGCTGAGGGAGTAGCTGCTTCTGTTTTCCAGTCATCTACCCCTTTCAGTCCTGACATACCAGTAGAGATCAATGCATATGGTTATGAAGGCAATCAAGAAACAGATATTTCAACTAGTGACATTGAAATGCAGCATAAAGCTAAATTTGAGGTGTGCAATCTAGGATCTCTTCATTCTCTATCTGTATGCTCATTGTCCTCTCCCCTTTCCCCTTTTCTTCTTTTGTTTGTGGCACCCTTCAGCTGATGCGTTATTGAGCTGTCTTTCATGCCCTTTTTCTTAACTCAGGAAGTCGAGACCAACCAGCCAGACATAAAAAAATTTGGTTTTCGAGTTTCAGATGGCATTGGTTGCTTGCAGGTTGAAGCACTGTTTTTATGTGATGTTTGTGCTTTTACTGTTAACTTCTATTGCCCGTTAATCTAGCCATATGTTAATTCAGCAGATTATAAAAAACAGTGACCTTGAAGAGCTGCGAGAGCTTGGTTCTGGCACCTTTGGTACTGTTTATCATGGAAAGTGGCGGGGCACTGATGTTGCAATTAAAAGAATCAATGACAGATGTTTTGCCGGAAAACCTTCCGAGCAAGAACGCATGGTTTGGCTCTTTCTTTTCTCTTTGTGATCTCCTGTTTTCTCCATATTAGTTCCACTTTGTAATTTCACTTGCTAACAACTTGTATCCTGGTAAATGCATATGATCAGATTGATGATTTCTGGAATGAGGCGATTAAGCTTGCTGACTTGCATCATCCCAATGTTGTGGCTTTCTATGGTGTTGTGCTCGATGGTCCTGGTGGCTCTGTGGCAACAGTGACAGAGTATATGGTTAATGGTTCTTTAAGAAATGCTTTACAGAAGAATCAAAGGTAAAAAAGGTTTTAGTTTTGTAGCTAATAAAAGTTTTAGTTTTGTTTGTTATAACGTATAACCTTACCGGTTTCAATTGTACATTTACCTGGAAAAAATTAATTATCGGATGGCTTGCTGTTGCCAGGAATCTTGATAAGCGTAAGCGACTTTTAATTGCCATGGATGTGGCGTTTGGAATGGAGTATTTGCATGGAAAGAATATAGTGCACTTTGATTTGAAGAGTGATAATTTACTTGTCAATCTTCGAGATCCTCACCGCCCAATATGCAAGGTTAGTGCTCTGGCCTGAGTTTTATTTGCAATTCCAATCTGGTGCAAGTTCTATGGTGGGAAAGCTTTTGATTATTTATTCCAAGGATCCTAAATGAAATTGGCATTTCTTTAGACTCGCTTTGGATATTAATTGGACAGCCATGTAAATTTGATTCCTTGTCAGAGTACGTTAAGGTGGCATATTTACAAACTGCTCTTGTCTTGAACTCTCAAGGAGATAAATTTTGTAACTGAGTTGACTGTTATGTAAGATATTCATGGTATTGTTGGCTGAGTATTTGGGGTTGGGATTGAGGTTTATGCAGCTCTTATTGCAGATGGCCATAAATTATGTTTGGTTCAAGAGCAGTAGTCACTAATAACATAAGAACATAGCAAGATCTTGTATGAATATTTCTGAGCTCTTTAAAAATAATCTCTAATTATTAGCCTTTTGAAGATCAACCTGCTGTAAAACCTTAACAGAAAGAGGTGTCTGCATGGATGAGCCTTAATTATTCATTATAGTAGCTTGCTAATTGCTCTCCATGTGCCTTTGGATTTATATATATTTTTTGTATGGCAATTAATGTCTAACAGAAAAATCTACTTGCTTCAAAAACAATCTCATTAAGTTTTATTCATTGATTGATATTTGTATCTAATTCATCATGAACTTTTCGATTTGGCCATTTTGTTAGTCCTCATTTTCCTTTTTCCCTAGTCTTTTCATGGTTATCCACTTATCTTAAAGGTAAGCTACCTTTTCTTGTTTTTTGTTTTTGGTAGGGAAAAGCACAACTTGTCTATTGATTGAAAATCAGCTTGCTAGAAATTTTGGGTCTTTATTGTCCATGTCAATATGCCTTTTTCTAAAAATTACAGGGCTTCTTTCCCTTATGTTTTTTGCCCAAGTTTCACCCTCGAACACCTTTTATAATTTAAATAATCTGGAATTATATTCTCATGTTTCTGTTCGATTGATGTAATAATGGCTATAACAATGTGAGCTGATGGAACAACTTCTTTCAAAGTGAAAGAAATGATTTCCTTACGGTTTAATGAGTTATAATCTTTTTCAGACACAGCTTTCTGCTAGCTTCTTTTTTGTTTGTTTGTTTGCTTATATTCATTCCATTTAATCTTGAGTTGAGGACCTTGATGGTCTCAATATAAAAATATGATTTATGCTATATTTTTAGTCCTCTGATTAATTTTTAAGAACAGTAGCTAGCTAAGTCTGATGCCAATGAATGGGTGATTGCACAGTACTTCTGCTACTACTACTACACTTTCTAAGACATTACCGTCATAGATTATTTCATTATTTCTCTTAAATTGATACCTGAAGGTTCTTTCGCTTTTGCTTATTTATGTTAATGGTTATTTCAATTTCATTCTGAACTTGTTCAATGGATTCAGTTCTCACGCCTAGATTTGGTTTCAGGTTGGTGATTTGGGCCTATCTAAGGTGAAATGTCAAACTCTGATCTCGGGTGGTGTCCGTGGAACACTTCCATGGATGGCACCAGAACTTCTGAACGGCAGCAGCAGTCTTGTCTCAGAGAAGGTTTTATGATTTGCACATTGTCTAGTGCCCTCTACCATTTTATTCTCTTACCTACTCTCTCTTCTGTCCTATATAATCAGAAGAAACTTTTTTTTTTCTACATATAGTTAATCGTGAGATCTTTGTTTTGGTATTTCACTAATTTAGGTTGATGTGTTCTCCTTCGGTATTGTGATGTGGGAGCTTCTCACTGGAGAAGAACCTTATGCAGACTTACACTATGGTGCTATTATTGGTAATTGCATTATTTATAAATGTAATCATGAATTCGGTTTTTTAACCTTTGCTCTTTGATGGATCACATTTTGTCTCACTGATCATTTGCTCGGAATTGTATTCAGGTGGTATTGTGAATAATACACTACGCCCACCAGTTCGAGAATCATGTGACCCAGAATGGAGATCATTGATGGAGAGATGCTGGTCATCAGAGCCATCAGAGAGACCAAGCTTCACTGAGATTGCAAATGAGTTACGCTCAATGGCTGCAAAAATCCCACCCAAAGGACAAAATCCACAATAAAGCACACAACCAACCCTCAGTTTCAAAATGATTTTGCACAAACTGCTCATTGTTGGCATCTTCTGTTTCCTTTGCATGGCAATAGGACGAATAGGTCTTAAATGTGTTGGCATGAATGTACACATGGTACGAAGTCATTTCCTTTTTTTTTTTTTATATAGAAAATATATTTTCTTGATTGTGTTGCTGTTGCAGCCCATCTAATTGAAAATTGTCTTTATATGCAATTTATATTATTGGGTAAATATATTGAAATCGTACATCAGCTGTTAACTGTTAACCAAACAGGTTTGAGTTGTTCGCATATCTGGTTTCTTGGACCTGAATTCATTTTTCTCAAGCTTTCTATTACATTTTGACCGTATAATTTTCTTCATCGACACTCCACAAGATTTTTCCACTTTCCAAGCGCGTGAAGTTATTACCCCCAATAAGGTACCGCGTAACTCTGAGCCGCCAAACATTGTTTTTTGGCTAATGAGCCGCCAAAGTGAGTTGGTCAAACACTAATCTGAACCCATAATCATCCATATCCGACTAATTAGAAACTATTACGAACCGTAGATAAATGACCAATAAAAATGACCCATGTAAGATTTGATGGGAAGGATTTTTTTTTTCAAACAGGTGGCACTTTTACATTGGGCCTTGATAATAATCTATCCTACTGAAGGCATACTTACCAATATGCCTTTAATTCGCACCTTCTTTGATATTTCCTTGCTTGTTGCTCTTCAACTTCCTTGCATGGCTTCCCTTCTGAAATTCACTTCAACTTCCTACCCTCTTTTAGAACTTCTCCATATAAAAGCTTCCTTTTATCGCAGTCCAAAAATGTAAGCCTTATTTTTCTTTTCTTTTTCTTTTCGTCTTCTTCATTACCATGGCAAGTTCTGAAGAGAAACCAATCTTCATGCACAAGAATCCACCATCAAAGCATCAAGACGTAAAAGTAGAATTAGATGTTGATCTTGAGCATGAAGATGAAGTTTTGGGTAAAGGGTGTGATTGGTTCAGTTTCTTCTGCCTCAATTGGCGGCGAAACGACATCGATGAAACTGATTCCTTATTGCCCCAGAGAGGAGAGCACACGGAGACATGGTGGAAATGCAAACTGAAGAAACTGAAAGAAGTCTCCGAAAAACTAGCAGGGCCAAAGTGGAAGAATTTTATCAGGAAGATGAGTGGATATTGCAATAAGCGGAAGACACAAAAGAACAGGTTTCAATACGATCCTTTTAGCTACGCTCTCAACTTTGATAATGGTGCAGATAAAGAAGGAGATGATTTGCATCAGGATTTCTCGTCCAGGTTTGCCGCTCCATTTGCAGATGAGAGACAACGAGCCGGGTCAGGAATGTAATCACACTGTTTTTTGTGATTGGCATATATCTTTCTTATCAGCTTATGTAAACTAATGATACGAATCCAAATATTTGCACATGTTTTCCTCATATCCTTTTAGAATCCATGTTAAGTATAGTAATATTCTTTGGTTTATTTTGATTCTTGCAAGCCTGGAGGTAAATTTAATTTCAAGTAATGGGTTTAATGTCAATTAATTAATTGGTATATATGTAGTGCCTCTGAAATGAAGTTTGAATAGAATCTGTTTTATGTTTGCACCTTAAGCTATGCCTGACTTTCATCTATGGCAAACCTGTTTTCAGCAATGGATAACTCCAACCAAATCAAGATTTCAATACAAGATGTAATTGGTAACCTGGCAGGGGGGACAAAATGTTAAACTAGATATTCTGGTATATATTGGTAAAAGGCAAATTCATATACCTTGTTTACTTCAGTCCGTGGACAGATGCCTAGACGTCGGAGCAATACCTTGATTTCTTGACATAAGAAATGCATATTTTATAAGCAGGCTAAATGGCAATTCAGCAATAAAGAATTGTAGTTGTCAGAGAAAACATATAGGCGAAACTGAAAAGGCAGACAACCATGTCTGTTGTTTTTGAACCAGGCCACAATAAGAAAATTTTGAACCATGATGTGACTTCTTTTCCCTATTCCACGGTTTTACTTAAGCTTTCCTTTGTAGAAAAAATGAAAAGAGGTGAGATGGGAACTTTGTTAATGTAATGGTTAAAATTTATAATCATTTTTCTATTTTGTGACTTATTGTGAGATTAACAAGTTTTTTATCTTTATCCCTTTCTATCCTTCCTAACAAGCAAAGCCTTAACGCTAGTTTGAACCATAGTTCTGCAAACTAAGCAGAGACAGGGACACTATCCTTTTGATTCGGTAGCAAAAAGCTTGGAAAAGTTGGTCAATAAAAAATAGATGCCTGCTGCCAATTTTTGCTTCATCAAATAAATTGTATTACATAGCGCAAATTGTCTCTCCAACATCTCAAAATACTTTGCATAATAGACTGAGATGTTTGCAGCTGGAGACTTAAGGAAAGTTTTGAATCATGGTTCTTTCCTTTCTTCTTGCTAGGTTACTAATTACTGTATTGATTTTCCTTTTAGGTTAGTCAAAACCCTGTATTGGACCATGTTTTGGTTTTTACTCTATATTTGCTTCTTTGTACTTCTGCCAATCATCTCAGGCAGCTTGGTCTTGTTCTGCAACACTAAAATGGTTTCTTGCTGGCTTTATGATGAATGTAATTTCACTTTTCAAAAATTAAAGCGTGCAAAGAAGGTTATGATCATTGTTCCTTTAAACAAATTTTATTGATCTTGTGTATCCTTTCTCTGTTGGACAAACCAGTTTATAAGTGGCAATCCGCTGATACAGCACATACAAACAGAAATCATGGAACCATTTAAAAAAAAAAATGATATGGGAGTTACAACAGAACTCCACAGGGTGTCTTCAAAAATTTTGAACAATTGGAAATGAGACACCTCAAACTTCATGTCTCTGCCAAAATGTTATTCGCAAGCCATTATAGGTCAATCACTCAACTGGTAGAAACATTAATGAACAAGTAGATAGCATTTTATGTTTGAACAAGTAGAGAATTACATTATATACTCATGACTTAAAGCCATTCTTGTCCACAGACGTAGAAGTATGAGCCAAAAATTTATACATTAATGCTATTCAGAGGACTTATCTTCGAGTCTGATATGTTCTAAATTCAAGCTTCTAAAACAACATAGTTATGCAGGTATGATTACCTATCAGCAGATTGCACAGACTAGAACGGAATGGTGCTCATGTCAACCCAATTTTTAATCTGACAAACTTACTTGTTACTGATGAAACATATGAACAAAATAAAACACTTGACCAAAGTTGTCTTATAGCTGGATTTTCCCATAATAGCCTCTATTGCATGGTCTGAAGCTGCAATTCCACCATTATGGACAGAAAGCAAAACATGGAGTTTTCTATAAGAGTTCTTTTACTTACATTAAGTGTTCCTTGCTGGTGTCACCTGCATTACATCTTTTCCAAATTAAAGGTGGCCAATGGTTCTCGAGAAAAGCTAATTTTGATCTAGAAACATATGAACCCATAAGCAGCCTACCTCTTACGTTTGCTCTTCAGAGAAGTAGAGGGGTTACTATGCCAATTCCTTTTTCTCTGGTTTATAAACCAATTATTAATCTGCTTTAACTGCAATCCTGTTTCCTGCACTAATTTTGCTTTGTCTTCCTCCTGTAGCAACATTTAGAGGAGAACGCTTCATCAGAAAACTGTTGAAAATAACATATTTTGAGGATCAGAGCTACCAGGGAAGCATATCACACTCACAGTTGGGTAAGGCCACTTGGAATGTGACTGCCACCAAGCTTTTAAAAGGGAGGTGGTGTCACCTGGTAGCTTTCCAGCTCTTCTTTTACGCAGAATTTCCTCTCTAACGTCCACAATTTTCTCCTTGTAACCCTAAAAGACAGACGCATATTTAGCTGCAGTGTATATGTCCTATGATTTTACTATTAAGTTTAAGAAATCATACCTGTTTTAGCTCATGCTTCAGCTCTTGCCTAACACGCTCCATTAAGGATCTCTCAGTTTCAGATGGGATGAGAGGGCCAAATCCCATGCTGTCAATCCCATTGAAACTTCCATCAAACAAGCTGGTATCACTATCTACAACTTCATCTTCATCATCAGACATGGTTGCACCAGTGCCTTCCCCTGGAGATACTCCTGTTCATGCTTCATAGTTTAGCTCTAAGTTTCGCCACTTTAATCTTCATTTAATGCAGTATTACCAAACCAATAAACAGGGAAGGATAAGTTCATTATTATTAATTACAGTAAGCAGGAAGGCTAGATGTAGAATTCAAAGATTGAAACCAAGCTCTATGGCTTATGTATAGACCTTTTTCCAGTTTCAATTGAATTAATGTAACAATATCATAGTGATTATCATTGAACTACATTAGCTAGACAGTCTAGTTTGGGCTCCAAGAGAGGTGTCTTAACAATCTACAATTTACGTAGCTCAGTGAAATCTCAACATAATGTTCACTAGTAGAAAGCCAACAAAAACAGTTGTGTCTAGAATTTGTTGAACTCTTGACCAAGAGGAGTGGTTGGTTGTAAAATATAGTAAGGAGTGGGAAAACAATAAGCAAATGAAAAAATTTTCTAAAGAAAAAAAAGAAACTTTTAGATATAGGGTAAGCGAGGACCTAAGACCTCTGAATGCATATGCTTTGATCGAAATTTCCAAAATATCTCTTGATAGAGGAAAGGAAAAACAGGCGAGATTAAGTAGAATGGATGTGACATGAAGCCTGGAATACTGATCCTACTTTCATGGTATTCACACTTGAATAGTTGGTGCATAAGTCAATCAAAGATGTAATCATTACGGATAACATAGCTCCTGTACAATATAAAGATGCACTGGCATGCTGCTTCTAGTCTCTGCTATCTATTCTGAAAACTGTTTACAGTACGGTGAACCATATACCTGTTAAACTTTGGAGCGATTGCTCAAGATCCCAACAAGCCATAACTGCTTCCATTGCATGAACACGAACATGTTGTTGCAATTGGTCTTTAAAGAAACCAAGCAATAGAACATAATTTGCCTACATTAAAGGGAAAAAAGAGAGAATACTCAAATGAAAAAGATGACAATGATCGCATATAACATGTTCATATCAGAAAGCTTAAAAAAATGTGAAAGGGATATAGACCATCTCATAAATCCTCTTAAATAGACATCTTAAATAATGATTCAATAAATTTACCATATGATTCATATCTCATTGACAACTATTAGTGAAGGTCTGATTACACATTCACAATTAAGACACCAATTGAATGCCCTCCATATTTTCCAGGACGAGACACTGTCAAGTGTCAATGACTACAAGAAATTTTAACTCAAAATACTTCAGCAGAAAGAAGAGAACTGAATACGTTAGAATAGGATTGTTCACTGCTTAGGCAATTACGCTTTCATAAAAAGTTTCAAATGTTTCAAGGTTGATAAGATCTGTAATCTGCTCTCTATAATTATCTCTTCAATTTTCTTTTTTTTCTTTTAAGAATTACCTACAGGATTCATTTTGCTTTACTAACTTTTAAACGCATTACACATTTCAAACAGGAATTTATCCTCTGTTGACTTCCATAATTTAATTATCCTGGGTCTCGTCATAAAAGTAAAGATTACAGTGTTACATATATTGCATTATCAAATTCACCAGACCACTTCCTTTAATTTGCAGACATCACATTTTGCTTTTTGCAAAAATAATGCTACCTTTCAATAATGGGTTACCCCTTGCCCAAACCTCCGTTGGATGTAAATTAGTGTCATGCATATTTTCAAATATGAACTCCGTGAAATAAACCTTGGATACCCTAATAATTATAATGTTCGTTATGGTTGAAACTTTCATTGCACAAATGGCATCAGGTGTCTATACCACATAACACTTCCCATTCTCTGAATAACAATTAAACAGAAGTGAACTTGAACTTTAAAAGAATTGTAATGCTGGCTTTTAGGAACACTTTCTATGGCCAGGTTGATGAAAAAAAAGATCACTATACTTCCAAAGTCTTCTTCAAAACCATAAAGACTGACAAAGGTGCAATCCAAGCAACAAAAAATAGTTCTGAATAATTAACAGATTTCTAATACTATCAGATAACTTCTTCATGCCTAATTGCAACTCTTTATTTATTTATTGTTTTCTGTTACTTGAATTGTTTTAATTTCTTAAGCTTGATTACCAAAATCCTTGATGACATCATAGAAAGGATTTCTGTTATCAAGAAGACCAAATGAGAAATATAGAAGCTTGGACAGAAAAATTAGTCCCAATAGCTTCTGGAGTTTGAAAGCAAGATCATGCTTGCAGCAATCTCCAACAACAGTTTCTTGAGTCCAAATACTAAAAAATTGTTCAAAACATTGGATATTTATGGATTGGATTAAATTCTCTTCACACCATTAAAGGAAAAATTTTTGAATGACCAGATCACCATCTGTTGCTTGTTTACACTTGCATATAGACAATCTTGATGCACACTCAGAATCCAGATACAATACGGAAACATAAATTTACCAAAAAATTTTAGGGAAGAAATGTGAAAGTTGGTCCTTCACGGAAGAACAAGTTCCGGAAGCAAAGAAGAGACATATTACAACAATCAATAAACAAAAGATTATTGAAAGCACTCCAAAAGTTCCATTATTAGAGTCATGATGAAAAGCATAATTTCTCTAATGATGCCACAAAAGCAAATTCTGATTCACATCACAAGGCACACCTTCAAGTACTATCCTCAACTGAGAAACCTCTTGGTTTTTTTTCATTTTACATCATCTTTTAGCTGGCACATAAAATACCACCGACATAGAACAACCCAAAACTCCTCTCTTTCTACCTCTACCCTTTTCTTTCACTAAATTACCACATAGTAAAGCAAAAAAAGTGAAAGGGTTGGGTTAAAAATATTAGCTTTATTGAGTACCAAAGCATCTATCAACTAAAAGAACAAAAATCATTAGCTTGAAAATAAATCCTTTCCTAAAATAGTCACATATTGTGTTGTAAAATAGAAACCATAGTAATATGATCCAACTACTCATTAAATGCAAATAATTAAAAACAAAAAAATAATATAAGCTACAAAAAGAAAATCAATGGATCATAATAAACAAGTAAAATGGGGAAAAAAAAAACTAAAGCCAACCGGTCAACGATGACCCAAATAAGAAAGATAACAAAGAAGTGAGCAAAAACAAAGAACCCAAATCAAAAAACAAGTCAAGAAGAGAAAAGGGTTACCATGAAGTGATCGAGTTCTTCTTCAGCAGCACCGGCAGCAGCAGCAGCAGCAGCGGACGAGTACTTAGCCAAGATATCTTGGGACCTAGCCAACTGAGCATCGATCTTAGCGAGCTGGTCAACAGGCGTGGCAACACGTAGACAAGCCACATGTGCTTCCAACAGCTGGTCGTACATGGGATGCCCCATTATCGCGGCCTTGCATTTGGCTCTTTCCCAGTGGTCAAGGTCGGCAGCTGAGGCGGAAGCCCAGGATGGTTCGTTAAGAGCAAGGGTTTGCATGTCTTTGGGATGGTCGGAGACAAAACCATCGAAAGCCATGTTTGAGAAAAAGTGAAAAGAGCTTTAGGGGGGTTTGAGCTTTTGTAAAGAAGAAGATAAGGGAAGAGAAATTATGAGAAGAAATTAAAAAAAAAAAAGAAAAATAAAAGAGGAAAGCGCGGTTGTTGGAGGATTGTGTAATAAAAGACAAAGGGGGATCTATGATGCAGGAACGGAATAACAATTAACGTTAGAGTTAAATTTTCTCTGTCTTAGGTGGTTTATTTGGTTGGTTTTTTGTCTCTTCTGTTTCGGTTTCAACTCTTTACCCTCATTTAATTAATTTCATCAAAATCATTAAATTAATTATAAAATAAATTGGTAAAGGGGTTTGCTCGCTTGTAGATTTTTATCAACTTATTAACATTAAAGAAACTTGTTTCTTAATTATAAAATAAATTATATATTTATTTACACGCGCATATATATATATAATATGAAAAGATAAAATTTAAATAACTTTTGAATCAAGTAATTTTTTGTTTATTCAAGAAGGAAATGCTAAGATGATAGTAAATATATATATATATATATATATATCAATTTAAGAACAATTTGTATAATATTTTAAGTAGTTCATACTCCTTTTTTAATAAAATTAAATATTATTAACATTTTGGTAATCAAAGAACAGAAGAACCATAAATCCCCCTTAATAGTTCATCATCTATTTCAAACGATTTTTATAAAAATAAGAATGTGATCCAATAAACTTCCACTAACCAATATAAATAAATATATATATATAATTGAGTTTCATGGTTATTACACAAAAAGTCATCCAAAAAATTTTAAAAAAATTTGAGCAGAAAAAGATTTAATTTGCTTAGAAGTATTGTTATCGACTAAGCAAGATTGAATTTGGGTGAACAACCACCCAATAGTTAAAACTGAAAGTCAAGTCAGGCATGATCCAACTTAGAAGCAAACAACCAAACCAAACCAAACCAAACCAAAACTTGTGACCATTGATGATTAGGTTTTTACTTTTTCAAATGATATAAGAATACATATAAAATATCTATATTTTGTTACTTAACCTTCAAATTTTATTATCTAAAAAATCCATCGAAGTTTAACCCTAGCTTAATTCAAAAAAATTTTCAAATTTAAACTTTTGCTTAAATTGAACGATCCAAAAATCTGATCCAACATTTGGATAATTATGTGGATTTAGGTAGGTTGATATGCCTTTGACATTTGAGTAAAAAATATTGAAGATATCTATATATGCTTAATTTTAATATGATTAATGAATATTAAAATTAATGCATGATAATTTTAAAATTTAACTTAATTCATTTATATAATTATTTTTAAAAAATAACATTTAATAAATCCAATTCAAATATCAACATCTTTTTTATCTTTTTTTCTATTATCAAATGCGATCAATTTTATAAAAATTATAAATAAAAATTTAATAAGAAAATAATACATATATATAAATATATATATGCAAATGTGAAATTATTATAATTTTTTTTTGTCAAGTGTACAAATGATGTACATTTTATTCATATGAAAATTCATCAAATTTAAACAATATAAAATATAAAATAATCATAGTACCCATCTGTCCTTCCAAAAAACGGTGACTTGCTAAAAGTCACCATATTTTTCTTCCTTTAAAAAAAAAAAAATTGGGATGATCACTTCCTTAGCTTTAAATACAAAGTCATGCAAAGTTATAAGGCAACGTGACGTTTTTGTTTTTAGTTTTGTGTTTTAGCATATTTACCAACTATAACAATGTAATTAGGTGAATAAAAAAATAAAATAAAACTTAGCTCTTTAAATTTGGGTCAAGCTTTTGACCCATTAAAGGGGGCCGCAGCGCAGAACTAAAGGTTCCCTGGGGCACTGCAACTCAAGACGGCAACATTAGCCCATTTGCAGATCCTGTCAACACGTGTCGATCTCAAGTTTCATTGGACCACTGGTGGGATCATCTAGGAGAACGAACAACATTAGTATACCTGTAAAATTGCAGGGTAACCAGGGACCACGCCAGGCATGCTAAACGTAAAAAAAAAAAAAAGAATAAGTTTATAAAATTAAGAAGTGGGCATTTTATAAAAAAAAAAAGGACATTTTATTTTTTAATAATTTTAACCATTTATTTAAATTATTATTCCTTTGGTAACTTCTGATATTTCCAATGGCTTTTCCTAGCAAGTAGAGAATTATTTAATTTCTATATAGCATTAAATCCAACCCACTACTTAATTTCAAACCTCACCAAAACTTGACTAATCGTTAGTTTGTTACTATAAGTAACATGGGAGGTCAAATCCTAGTATCCCATCCCTTATCTTTTATTCAATGGATAAAAAAAAATTATTAAAATTTTTTTTTTTCATTGCTCTCCCTTTCTTTTATTCAATAGGCAAAAAAAAAAAAAAATTAAAGTCCAAAATTAGACATATATTTTTTCTTCTTTTCTTATAACTTTTTTACTAAATATAATACCACATAATCTAAATTTTATTTTATTTCTTTTTTCTCCTTGTGATACTTTTTTACTAAATGTAAAATCATATCATACTTTTTCTATTGGACTTAGTTTTTTTCCTTGTATTATTATTTTCAAGATTTTTTAATTATAAAACATTTTTAACTATATATTGTACAAAAAAACTTTTCACTTGTTATATATAGTGATAAATTACACCAGTTGAAATATTAGTAATAAATTTGAATCACTCATTTGAGTAAAATGATAAATCTATATTTATTTCAATTATTTTTAATGATTAATCATAATATATTAATTTTGTCAAAAAAATTTATTAAAATTACAATCATAATTACAATCATAATTAAAATTATATCTATATATAAAAATACTAAATAATCAAATAAATAAACCAATCAATAAATCAGAACATAATTAAATAAATCCAATATAAAATTAAATCAAACTTATACAATAAAACTTGAACTTAATATTTCAAAATTTTACAACTTCTTTCCTACAACTAAATTAATATTTTATTAATTAAAATTTAAAATTGAATACATCAAAATCTACCAATTTTTTTTACTCTATAAAAGTCAAATAGAAACTAACAAATGAGACGTAGGGAACTTATTAAATTTGGTTTGCGTCTATATTTTGTCGGTAGGCCAATCAATCTTTTTCTTTTCTTTTAAAACTATAGTAATACTAATAATGCAACTGTTGGTAATAGGAATCATTCAAAATTGGTTGCCTTTACATGTTGCAACAGTCAGATAGCGCTGAGAAGTGATTGAAAGAAGCCAAAGAGATAGGAAAAAAAAACAGTGGGGGCCGGCAACGGGGGACGAGCGAAGTCATTCGTTAGTTTGAAGTTTGAAACATTCATAAAGTTGATGCTATAAAAATGGACCCACGTGGCCCCCTCTGAACATTATTCAAACAGCTTAATTTGTTGCTTCCAACATACATCCATCAATCGTGAAAGATTCTATGTATCTTTCGCTACAAGTCGAAGGATCTGACTAAGTGACCACCTTCTATTTACATGTATATGCTATTTTTTTAAGAGGGATGACATGTCTCGCGTTCGTGGCAAAACAGAACCTAATTTAGCTCCTCCAATTTCCAAAATCCCCGCAAGATATCAATGAAGATGGACTTCAATTTGATCATACTAAAAATATTTGATGATAGAGGTGGCAAAATGAACTCAAACAAAGACCAAATTTGGTTAAAAGGGTTACAAGCTCAAATTGGGCAAAATTTGAATTTAAAATGATTTAAATTTTAAAAATTTGGAACATAGAATGATACAACACAAAAAAAAAAAAAATCAAATTTGAACTTAGAACTTAAAAAGAAATTTTATAGATAATAATTTCAATTGGAGTTTTTTTTTTTGTTAATTCTGATATAAAACGTATGCAACACTACCAATTATATTATCCTTTAGCTGCAGAGTTTAAAATTCAAAGTAAGAATAATTAGCAGTTATTTGATATGCATAATATTTTTTGCAGCTATAATATGTACATTCGTCACCAGTGCTAACTATTATGTAAGTTAGGCTAATATGAATACACAATATACCATATGTTAGTAGAGTTATGCCCATTAAAAAAAGTACTGTGGCCATTGAGGCACAATTTGAACTTGGAAGGTCATTTTATTTTTCTTTTTATCCCTAGTCAGAGTGTCAATTTTAGTTGGCACAAAAAACTATTTTCAAAGATTTGTTATGTTATTTTGAAAGGATCGGAGTTCATGGTCCGAAACACAGCTTTCGGACCTTATCTCTCATATGTATCAACTACCATTTCTAATGTTTAGACTTTATATTTATCATCCATAACGAGGGAACCAGGTTTTAGTTTTTTCATCACAATCATGTGCCATAGGAACCTATTGGAAAAGGCCACCCTGATTGGTGCTTAATTGTTAATCATTGTCTGGTTTATGATTGAGACTCCCTTTTCCAGAGTGGTGAAGAAACTTTCACTATTTCATGGTGTTGTTTTATAATTTGATTGGATTTTAATCGTAAAAAAATGCAACTGCAATGTGATAAAAATTCCTCTTACCACACTGCCGAAGAATTCTTGAAACTGCCCAAAGGGCAGGTTTAATAGCTTGGACTTTGGATCCTAACCATATTAAATCCAACCTCTTATGCCTATGATCCTTTTAATCTTGGTCTTTTTATGCACTCTACTAGTCTAATACGTTTTGGACAAGGTTAATTACGCGTTGATTTTAAATTTAAGTCCTGACCAACCATGAACTTGGTGACATGAAACAGAGAATCAGATTTACTATTATTCCAAAAAAAAAAAAAAGGGAAACAGAATTACAGGATGGAGCAGACACTGAATTAAATTTGCCTCTTTACTGAAAAAAAATAAAATAAAATAAATTTGCCTGCAAGGGAGGACGAGGGAAAAATGACTCCCTTACGTGCCATGATTTGCAGCATGCAGCTTTGCTCCTAGTTATGGACATAGAATATCTGATGAAATAGACAAATTAAATACTTTGAACTGCTTTGATTTTCTTCTTTCTTTCATGCATAGATGTTGTTAACAAAATTTGTTTGCAAGACAGGGCAAATTACAGACGAGTTTGCACATGCAAATGAAGGGAGGCTAAAGAATGAATGCATAAATTAATGTATTTTCAAGGCAGAGAAGGTGGCATTGAAGGCTTTGTAACTTGGAGCTCTCCACAATCACTGATATAAACAGTTTTAAGAGGCCTGTTCCATAATGCACGGCCTTTCTGGGCTCTTTCGTCTCCAAAAAATTCAGCCAAGTCATTTAGTAGGCGAATTCTATCCGAAGGTTTGTATGTTGGGATGGAAGCGATAGCTGTCACAACATCCAACCCTGAAATTGAAATGGAAAATCAAAGGTGGCAAATTATTTCTTCAAGTCTAGGCAATGTGCGTGTAGATGCACAAGGACAGTGAAGAGGGAATACATATAACAACAATTTACCAAAACAAATAATTCAGTTTATGTTAAAATCAGAGGAATATGAAGGTGTTGAAGAATTCTTCAGTTTTTTCAGAAGTAAAAAATTCTTCTAGCTGTTAATATCGCAGTACAGAGACCTATCATTTTGACAGCAATGTCGGAATTTTTGGAAGGACAAGTGTGCTGCATCAGGATAAATGCAGAATGCACATGCTGGAAATGGTATGTTTCACTAGAAAAGGCAAACCAGAACAGACACAACGCATTAGAATGTAATATGCATCAGAACAACAAGACATTTAATGTATCAGAAGATAGACTTGTTTATATTAAACAACTAAGAGAAATTTTGTAATTCTCCTCCAACTATGCCAAGATGTCTTGAGATTACTCATTCTATTTATTATAGCAGCTAGCTTCAAAATCAAATAAACAAAACAGAAGCCATTTATGTTGGAGAAGTCACAGCATTCAAAAGATCTGGATGTGATAATTTGAAATTTATTGAAGCAATATTCGCTGTCATAGGCAGGTTTTAAATTAAGAACAAACCTTCAAAGAGAAAAAGAAATTACGGCAAGGGCATTAGAAGACATGATACATAAAGAAACATGTGCCCAGCTAAAAAAGTGGCATATAAGCTTAATAAATACAAATTAGGCACCAAAAATCACAGCAATGAAACCCAAAGCACTCCTGGCATATTGATGTCGTTTGACCCTAGAGAGCAACATTTGCTAAACTTGGGCATTTTTAATTACAAAAACATGATTCAGATATAGAAACTTCAATTTCTGAGAAATGCCATCTGAATGCATTTGTTGCGCTTTGGTTTTGAGGAATCACTAAAAAATGAATTAATTTTGGGTTCTCAGCAAAATTTAATTAATAGGAGAGTTTGAGGCTTTGAGCATTGACAATATACACGCGTGTTGCATCAGGATGAATGCAGAACCACGTGCTAGAAATGATATGTGGTTCACTTGAAGGGCAAACCAGAACAGATACAAGTCATTAGAATGCAATATGCATCAAAGCAGCAAAGCTTATAATATAAAAGAATCTAGACTAGTTTATATTGAATAACCGAGAGAAATCTGGTATTTCTCCTCCGAAAGTGCCATGTCATACAAGATTACTCATCCATTTTACTATCTACCTTCAAGATCTAATTAACAAAAACAGAAAGCATTTCATTTGGAAGTCACAGCATTTGAAAGATCTCGATTGTTTTTCTGATAATTGAAGCAATATTTGCTTGTGAATATAGATTTTAAACTAAGAACAGGCCTTCAATAAGGAATAATAAAGGCAAAGGCATTTGAAGACAGATGACATTCTAACCTTTTTCTTAATACAATTAGACTGCAATTTAGATTAATGCCATGATATATAGACACATGTGCTATGCTACAACTGTGACATTTAAGCTTAATAATCCAAATTAGGCACCAAAAATCTCAGCAATGGACCCAAAGCACTCTTGGTATATTGATGTGGTAGAGCCCTGGAGAGGAACATTGGCTAAACTTGAGCAATTTTAGAAAAACATATGACTCAGATATACTTCTTCAATTAAGATGTAACTTTAATAATTTATCATCTGAAATTTGCTAAATTATCACCCAAAAAAGGAATTCATTAACTTAATCAGCCAAAATTAAATGCATATAATGCGAAACTGCAAGAAATATCTAAACTTAAACAGATATAATAAAGACCAAAACCTTACCTTCAAGCACCGTGCCAAAAACAATGTTGTTATTATCCAGCTGAGGACAGGGGCCAGGCCCTGTAGTGATCAAGAACTCAACATTCCTATAATCAGAATCGAGCTTAATCTCATTGTCATCATCGTTCTCTGATAAGCAAAGCGAAACGATACCAGCCCTTGAATGTGCAAGCAAGAACGCCTTAGGGTTAACAGTCTCAATGTTCCGGGGCAAGTCCAAGGCAGGAAGGAGATGGACCTCGCCATATTCTCGGCTGCGGCCTTGGCGTCCAGCTTGGAAGAACTGTCCTGGAAATATTTTGTGGACGAGAGTGTTTTTGTAGGAGGAAGAGGTGCACATGAGCTTGAAAGTGGAGACTGTAAGAGGGAGGAGATTGCCATAGAGGCCAAGGACAAGGCGGCCTAAAGGAGTCGGGTCGGAGCATAGAGGGGTACTGTCGGCAGATGTGGAGGTGTTGGGGAGAGTACTGCGGAAGTAGGTGGGGCAGAGGGAGAAGTCAAGGAAGACGCGGTCAGTTATGGTGGTGTCTAGTGGAGGTGATAATGAGGTTGAAGATAAGGGAGGGGTAGTGAGGGTGGTGGAAAGGGTGGAGGAGAGGAGAAGGGAGCGGCGAGTGAGGGTGGTGGAGGAAGCGGAGAGAAAGGGCCCAGGAGGGATGGGTGATAGAGGGGAGGCCATGAGGAGGGTAGAGAAGACATGGCTAGGCTAGAGGGAGATTGGAGGAGTTGTGGTTGGTGGTTAGATGGAGAGTGGGGCCTACATTACTTACTGTGGGCGGATAAAGGTGAAAAAAATGGACTTCCGCTTTCAAAACCGAAAAAGAAAATTACGTTTATATAATATATATTTGATGTTCTTCACAGAAACATAAAATAACACCTTACTACTAAGTGAAAATATTTTTTATTTATTAATAGTATATAAAATTTATATATTAATAATATATAAAATTTTTATTTTAAAAGTGTATATCAAATATAATGTTTTTTTTATAATTTGTAAAATAATGATTCTTCAATCATGATATTTGTGATATTAATATATCAAAAAATCAAATCAAATTTCTTTAATCTTGATTAATTATTTGTAGCTCTAGGCCGCGCTTGCATGGGAACAGAAATGGAAATATAAGATGGAACTATCCTTAGACGTTATTTCTCTAATGTTGACAAGTAAGATTTTATGAAACAGACTCCATATTTCATATACATATTTCCTTTGGGATTCTAGCTGTTTTTATTTTTATTTTTTTAAGGATTCTAGCTATCATTTTATGATTTTCATTTTTAAAATCATAGGTCGACAAAGATACTCTTTAGAATAGTATTACCCTCGGGATACCTTGATTTTTTGTCTTGTACTTAATTATTTATCAATTACAAAAAAAAAAAAAAATCAGGCAGCAAATTTTTGGCAATTTTTCTAATGTCTTTTCTGTGTAATTTGAGTGCATGTTTCATCTGAAACTGGTGAAATTATATGTAGTGTATACATTAAACTTATATATCTATATCATCGATGATATTAATGATTTGGCCATCTTTGGGAGGGACTTCCCTCGGTCCAGTCTCCGCTTAGCTAGAAAGCAACAAATTAAAGTGCGATGTGGTCGATATTCCTGCCTCTGTTTCGCAGTTAAAAAGAACAAAAAAAACCAAAAAATAAGGGAGCTGAAAAATTTTAGGATTCATATTCTTCAGCCAGTGCTCATATCATATGCCGTTTTACACTCAAATTTCCTTGTAAATTGCGATAATATAGCATTCGTGTTTACCCCTCTCGTTACAATGCCGGTAAAGTCTTGATTTCACAGTGATGTAATCTCTATTGGACTAATTATGAGATCTTGGTAAATGTGTAAATTGTGAGAAAACATGTTAATAATGCATAAATGTATTTGCATGGTATCCAATATAAAAGTTAATCAGCATGATGATATAAAAAAAATGCGCAGTAAACCATCAGCTTTTCCTTTTCGGAGGAAAAGGGGGTTTGGGGGGTTGCAGAAATGCCTTGGTGAAATCTAAATATGCTCATGTGTGATTCTTAATTACATTGCCATTTGTCATGGAATTGATAATGCTGCTGCCAGCAAGATCACAGATTCTGTTATACTTTTCTCCCTCAAAACACTAACAGTAGAAGAGGTGGAAAATGGAAATATAGTCTCAGGTTTTATCCATTTTCTGTTTTGAAACTCAATCCTTAAACTATGCCTACACAATCATATATACTTGTTTATAGAAACAGAGTCTGCTTCTGGTCCTTGTTACCTAGACCTTCCTTCCCCACTAATTGTTCTTTTTTTCCATGTACTCATTCAATCACTAATTGCAAACTATAAAATCAGGAAAAGAAACGCTTATAATTGGTATGAACTGTTTTCCGATTTACTGAATTGCAAGATTCTCAAAGGAAACAAGTAGAAATTAAAACTGCCTATACATTTTGAGCTTGGGCAGCAATTTACATTTAAGAAGTGGTTCTGTGGAGTGGTTTGGAGTATAGAGACAGAAGTATAGAAATTAATTGAGAAAAGAAACTGTGTATTAATTCCTAACCTGTTGCCTTCTACTTAGCTTGTATCATCTACGCATATATGTACGTGACAAGGGCCCATCGACGTCTTCTCTACTTCTGGGGAGTACTCACCAAGGGCTAGATGTGAAGAGTGAGAAGAGAATTTTGGAGCTGTAATGGACAAGGAGCAACCACTCCAAGCATGTATTTTGGGAAATGATATATTCCTTGTACGGGAACAAGCAGAGGAACAAACACCATTTAAGTTATGCAGCGCACAGCCGCAATTGCGATGGTATGGCCTCCGCTCGATGTCGATATCGTACATCGCTAGGCTTCCTTCAAGGACACATGGGAGCACCATCTTAGCTGCTCCAGTGGCCATTCTCTCTCTCTCTCTCTCTCTCTCTCTCTCTCTACCTGATCTTAATTAAGGGTATCTTCTCTTGTCTCTGTATGAATGTGTTTAAGAGTCTCGCATGTTTTTGAAGCGTATTTATAGTGCAAGGAATAGGTGTGTTAGGTGGGTGTTGAAGATGGAATAATCAAGAGAGAGACAGAGAGAACAATTTTGTGTTAGTCATCCCACGTTGAGTTCAAGAGTAGGACTTTGTTCTTGAATATTTAGTTCTTGTTGTAGTAGTTCCCTAATAACGAAGGCAAACGTTTTTGTCAAGGGAAGATTCAGTCCCTAAAAGAGAGAGGGAAGAAAGGAGAGATAGGCGAATCTATTAGGACTTAGGAGAAATCAGTGGCTTGGCTTTGGTTGGTTAAGTTTGCAATGGCTTGTTTTTTGGAATTTTTATTTGAAGTTTTTTTTTTTTTTTTTGGAGGGGAGGGGTGTATGAGGCGTTTCTCATCGTTTTTGCCGAAGAACCTTCTTTGACTAACTTGTTAGAAAACTGTCTCGCTTTTATTCGTAAGACAGGCGGTATTTCCTAGGCGAAAGAAAAAAGAGTCTGTATCTTAAGACTTGAGCCACTTGAAGTTGTATGCATTGGAGCTAAGTGAGGTGGAATTGGAGTAATTAGTTTTGGTTCTGTTTTGCGACTGTTACCTTTGCCATTGATCATATATCATCTTACATTCCTAAACTACGGGTAACCAGTACGAGGAGACTAGACTCATTCACACCCACACAATTAATCTTTGTCTTTAGGTACTTTCTCGCGTCATGTAAGCGGCTAGTGAACCGTGATTTGTGGAATTAATATTTTGCAATTTGCTGCGATGGATCATTCTTCATTATTGGATTTAGTTGCAAATCTATGCTGGTCTTCTCTCTTTTTTATCCTTTCATCATATAACTATGGCAATAATTAGATTTCATGGAAAGAGGAAATTAAGAACAATGGCTGACCAAAGTGATTTCCTTCTTAATTAGTTTGCAAGTAGAGATAATTTTGAATTTTTCATGTGATATTTGATTTCACACCGAATATTAGTGAGTATATCACTGTTTTTTTATTAATTAATTTATGTGATATATTTGATTCTTCATCGAATGTTAATGTGATCACTAAAATTTATATAAGAATTTTAAGTTATTTATTTAAAATTATTGTTTAACAGCATGGTAATTTTATATATATGTATATATATGTAGAAATAATAAATTAAGTATTAACTATATAGTTAATTTGTTGGATTAAGTACTACATTGGAAATTGGCCAGCGGCCACGACGTTTGATTTTGACAAATTTTCATTGCTGTCTGCCAACTCTCTTTACACAAGAGCAAGTTACATATACATATAATTTGATGCAATTGCATAATTAGTAACCAAATTAATTCCACCAGATATAGAATGATCATATATAAACTCATTTGATTTTCAATTTTTTTCCTCCTTCACTCTTTATAATATTTTTTATATTTAAAATTGTAAGAATTTGATCTAATTATTAAAATTAAAAAGAATATGTTATTAACAAAGCATACAATTGTTTACAATATAATATTTTCTTTCATGTAAGAAAAGAATATTGTATAGTCCAACATGCATAATATAGTCATTAAGCTCTCTCTTTCTCTCTCTCTCTCTCTATATATATATATATATATATTTAAACCTTTTAATTTCTTTATTCAACACGTTAATGAAACTGACCAATTTAAAATATAAAGAATAATATTAATTAAAACTCACATCATGATTGATGATATTAAAGATATTCGCACTCTAAAATTAGCCGACGTCCCTGGTTTCTACATACAAAGAAATTAACAACTAACAAAGAATCTGGCCAAATAAATAAATAAATAAATCATGTACTCCAGCTGTCCTCGTTGACAGAAACTTGGGGAAGAGAGCCTAATCAAAACTTCATATCTACTTAATTACTCCAGACAGACTCTACTCGATCCCATTTATTGTTCATCATTGAAAAATAAATAACAGGGGTTCTCTGCTCACTGTGTTTTGCCAACTGGCTTAAAAATTTTAATTTCTTTGTCCTTTAACGAGGAACAAAGAAAAAAACAATAACCCTCCTGGTTGGAAATTTCATCCCACCGACAATGCCTCAAATTTAAGCAATTTGTTGAGACGTATAAGATGGCGGCTGATAATTAGAGTACTTTTTCAAATTTCTATACTGCATTACTAATTAATGGAGCCTTTCATTGTAATTCTGGAATATAAAAACGAGGAAGAAAAACGCATATTAAATTATTTCGTGCTTGATTTAGTTGAAAGTTTTCTTTACATTGAACTATGCAGAATTTAGAGGGATATATATAGTTAGGTGGAAGAACCTTGTACGTATGCTTTTTTCCTAGTCTTGGACTTCAAGACTAAAATCTGAAAACGAAATGAAAGGAAACGAAGATTTCCGAACCTGTTTTTCTATACTTGTAAACACTATTTTTTTTAATTATTTTTTTTTTCCGTTTTCTATATATATTTTTTTTCTTTCTTCTTTCTTTTTTCTTCTTCTTCTTCTTTATCCGATTCAAGTTGACTAAGTATGAATGCATTAAATGCACTCTCTTTAAAATTCAAAATCACCACCGGCAGCCATCGATACTAACTAACACGTGAATACCAACTTATCACATCAGTTAAAAAAATGAGACTCGAATCTCTGAAGATTTGAGATTTGAATTCCAACAAGCTCTATAAATAGAGCTTGTTATCTGCGAGAAAAGGGGAATCGAAAAAAAAAAGG